GGGGGGGAGGAATGGAGAAACAGCCAATATTGAGGAAAGAGAGAATATGCTCAGTGATGTTGTGGCCTTTCTAATCTTAATAAGTCTGCTCGACCCAACCCGTAAAAACTTCCTGTGATCTGCTCTCTCTCTCTCCCTCCGCGTCCAGACTGCGCGCAACCAATCACAAGCTCCCTCGAAGACGACGTCCATAGATATACCCGAATCTTCCGGCCCCTCTCCGACCTCCAACCTCCTCTCATCCTCCTCTACCGCCTTCTTGTTCGAGGCCGCCGCCCCTTTGCCTTGATTTCAGTTCTAGTTATTATTGTTATTACTGGAAGAGACCATGGTCGCTGCTTTTGGGTTGCGGCTCTTGCTATGTTCCAGGCTCTTCGTCTAGCTGCCGATCCTTCTTCGTTCTTGGTTGAACCAGAGAGAAAGGGCAGTGGGGGAGGGGTTAACTTTGATGGCGGACTACCTCTTCGGGGATTCCAACGGCGATGGAGGGCAGGCGGATGCCGAGATGCTGAGAGATGGTGGAGTCAATGGCAGATTGGACTTTAATAGTCTCTTCAGCGAGCCGTCTGATGAAGGTATCTCTTAATCCTAAGGCACTTTCCACGTTCAGTTACTCTCAACGGTCGAGCCAGATGTACCCACTTTAAATCATGGCCCCCACCCCATCCCCTCCCTCCTCCACCACGTCGAGAACAGCACATCCGATCCTCCCTGACGAGTGCGACGACGCGGAGCCACTTCCACGCCGCTATCAGCATCATGGAAATTTCCTGAGCCGCAGCTGAACTACTCGGCAGAGCACGAGGGCGAAGGGAAGAAGAGGAACGGTTATCGATTGACGTCGGCTGCGGGCAGCACGGGCCGCGACGTTTCTGCGTAGATCATCGGCTCATTCACTAACTTGAAGCAGGATGCAACGTCCGAGACGGACGATTGAGACGACGTATGACTTGCTCTGCTTTTCTCGGGGCTCTTCCGATGAACGGAAGAGGGCTGCGAGGCCGCGCTGATTGTCGGCAAATTTTTCGGTGCAGTGGGATCATGGGAAAATATATTTAGGCCCGTCACTTCTGCCGCCGTCCCCGGCCGCCTACATAACCGTCACCCCGTCACCAACCTATCCGCCAATTGAAACTCGAACCGAAAAGGAAACACACAACGGGAACAAGGGACAACGCCGTCAACACCCGTCGCCATCACTAGACACGCGCCCGCGACCAAGATCAGACAGAAGACGACCGCCCAACACACCAGCACCGCCACCACCACCACCATCAACCCCGAGACGTATACCCAAACAAAACAAAAAACGACCATCCACCCATCCACCCACCCCACCAACCCACCCCACCAACACCATGGCCTCCTCCTCCTCAACCCCAACCCCCGCCCCCACCACCTCTACCCCAGCCCCCACCACCACGACCACAAAGTCCCCCCGCCCCCTCGAAAACAAACTCGCCATCATAACCGGCGCGTCGCGCGGCATCGGCGCCGCCGTCGCGCGGCTCCTCGCCGCCCGCGGCTGCTCGCTCGTCCTCAACCACGCGACGGAAGCGTCCGCGAAACTCGCGGCCGATCTGGCGGCGAAGCTGCGCGCCCGGCACGGCGTCGTCGCCGCGGCGGTGCGGGCGGATGTGGGGGAGGAAGGGGGGCCGGGGGAGATTGTGGAGGCGGCGAGGGGGGTGTGGGGGGAGATGAATGGTGGAGAGGGGGAGGGGGATGGTAAGGAAGGGGAGATGCGGATCGATGTGTTGGTGAACAATGCGGCGGTGCAGGCGAAGGCGTATCTGGGGGATATCAGGCCCGAGGAGTTTTGGCGCGTGTACAAGATCAATGTGCTGGGGACGGCGATGCTGACGCAGGCGGTGGTGCCGTATCTGCCGTGGGATCGGAGCGGGAGGATTGTGAACATGAGCAGTGTGGTGAACAGTAATGTGAGTTGTGGTGTCGGACTTGCGCCCTGACTTCTTTCTTTCCTTCCTCCGTCCCTCCCTCCTCCCCTGGTTTGTTTGGGTTAGATGAAAGAGAGAAAGGGGAGGAGTTTTTTTTCAAAACTGATGAGATTGCTGATTCTTTTCCCCTTCCCACCCACACAGGGCATGGCCGGCTACAGCATCTACGGCGGCACCAAGGGCGCCGTCGAGGCCATGACGCGCGTCTGGGCCACGGAGCTCGCCGAGCGCGCCACCGTCAACGCCGTCAACATCGGCCCCACCATGACCGACATGTACCAGGACATACCCGTCGAGGTGCTCGCCGACGTGCTCAAGTCGTGGTTCCCCACCGCCCCGCTGAGCGCCGTCCGCGACCACGACTCGGACCGCATGAAGTACTTTGCCGACGCCCTCGGCGGCCGCCCGGGGTATCCGGACGAGGTGGCGGGGATCGTCGCCATGCTGTGCTTGCCCGAGTCGGGGTGGACGACGGGCGGGTTGATCGGGGCGAACGGCGGGGGGAGGGTGAGCTATTAGGTGGTGGGGGAGAGAGTAGTAGGAGTAGTACTTCATTGCCGCTGGTCATGCTATTGTCCCGTTTCCCATTTGCTTCGCACCGCAGGGTTAACGTGTAAAGGGAGACGGTGAGCACCAAATTAGAGTTGAAATGATCGCATAGAGATTGTATTCATGCTATCTACTAGTCTTTTATAGACCTGGATGCTGATTATTGGCTTGTTTGCCTGTGTTCGGCTTGATTTTCCACCATCAGACGGGCTCCACGTGCTTAAGACGATGGATGGTGGCACGCTTGTCCTACATACTCACCTCTTCCAGTAATGCATCGAAGTCTTGGTGGGCGGAGAGACGCATCAAAGCGGGGCTCACCATTACAGAGGCGGCGCTGCCATTGCGAGAACCGCGCGTATGATCTTGCATCTAATTCTACGAGACACCACTCTGAGATCTTCACTCGTATCAGTCGTGCAGCAATGCTGAGCTAAACACGCACCAAAAAGCTCGTTAGGGCCATGCAATTTAGCTCTTTGATGCGATAGGACGTGACAAGTCACTTTACACCGACGTCCACGCATATGACTCAGCTACCTGAACAGGTTTCGATCGAGCGGCTATCCTGTGCGCACTGCGAAAGTCTGGTACCGAAACGTGCAACCCTTCTTGGGCAGCGCCATCTTACATGGTTCTGCTCGTAGATCTGGTGACGTTCCCGATTCGGTTAATGACAAGTAGTTGTGGTTGATGCTGAGAGATGTCCATCTCTTCTTGGAAGCGGCCAGTCATGCGTACTGATCTCGAAGACTCGGGCGATGCGTGTGGTCGAAGGGTCTGGCGAAATTTTTTTGCACAGGAACCCTTTATCAACAACGGAACGGCCGGTCGGTCAGAGAATTGCCGTCATCCGTCTTCCCCATCTTCCAGCAGTTCTTCCCGCGTACTCGGTGTTTCCGACAGGCCACAGCCACCAGCTTTTCCTTGATGTCGTAGGTCTCCTCGTCTTCCGAGCGCACTCAGCAAGCATGCAAAGGGTATCCACGAAGGTCCAGCGATGCTAGGGCGGTCTAACGAGTACTCAGTGGGACCGGGAAGAGCACGCGACTATGCCTTGAGACTGACGACACATGACCACAGAGCGCCCTTGGGTAATGAAACAATGGGATCCAGGGACTGAGCGAGTTTCCGGGATGCCTTCGCCGCCATCACGGCTTGGATCATGTTCCAGGATGCAGGATCCGTCGGGGCAAGGCGCCATCTAGCCAAAACCGAGGAGGGAAGGAAGCCATTCGCCAGGCAAACATCCGGGGGAGCTGGGGGTCGTTGGAGCTGGGGGTCGCGAAGTGTCTGGAAAAGCCAGGACAGCTGGGCGGGTATTTATCCAGCTGGCTTCGGAGTCCCACGATAGACTTCATGCCGAGACTTGATTGGACCTCGCGGGGGCAAGCTTACCGAGGTGGATTGCGGAATACGGCAAGAAGCCGGAATCTCGGTTCCAGCGGTCCCAGCGGTTTCTGGCCCCAGGAAACATGGTGAAGGCTTCTGGAAGGAGTTGGTTCGGGCAAAAATGACCCGGGGGCGGATAAATGGTGTCTGGTGCCAAGTCGACTCCACAGCCATCCAACGCCTCCTCCCCGGACGAATGGCCACGAGAGGGAGGAGGAGGCTGCGGAAGATCGACCTACCCAAGTCGACGGCGCACCGTTGCGGCTGGCTGCAAGTCATGCATGCTGCAGCCACGGTGCTCTCCCGCAAAAGCTTGTCTGTGCGGACCACATGTGCGCAGAGGAGATGCCGCTTGTGTTTTGGAACGAAAGCCTACGCAACGGCCACGGAAAAGACAGAAACGGACAGCAGGAGTGGTTGTGATTGGACCGAAGGCGTGTCTGGGCGGTCGACGCGACAGGGGACGAGGCAGCGATAAGGCATGCGGCAGTCTGAAACAAACTCAGCGTCTGGGCAGCACGTATGGGAAAGGGTGTTGAGGAAGGACAGAGGACCTGCGTGTCGCGTGCCACGAAGCTGGAAGGACCTCACGGGTTGCCGGCGGTTCCATGTTCGGCATTCGAGTCAGGCCTGCCCTTGCCCTGTCTGTGCTCACCTCCCCGACACCCCGGCCTGCGCCACCGGGGCCCCGTGCTTGCGACGTCGCGCTATTGCCGTAAGCCGACGGGCGCAGAGAAAAAATTTTCTCTTCTCTGTCGCGGCCGACACTGGGGATCCGCGATAGGGGCAGACGCGGGTGAGGACGAGGCGGGCTGCGCGCGCGACGGGTGAGGTCGCGATAGGCACAGCGCCGGAAGCGAGTGAACCCACCCTCCCCACGGGGGGACTCGACGAGTCCAGGCTGCAATCTGGAGGCAATCTGTGTGGGCATGCGGTCGCCGGGGCAAGATGCCGACATTCGGCCAACCACGGCCGGCGCCGCTGTTTCGGAGCTCGGAGATGGCATGCTTCTGCACCCGCACCTCCACCTCTCCCCATCCTCGCCTCCAGCATCCAGCTCCAGACCCCAGCCCGGGCCCACACTCCACGGCACTCTCCGCCCAGAATACAGTGGAGCAAGATCCTCCCCAGATCCCTCTCTCCGCCCGTCGCGACACCCGTCACACCGCGCTGCGCGCCGGCACCTGCACCCGGCACCTCGTCGTCGCCGTCGCAGGGCTGGGTAGCAGAGCCGCACCGGAACGCCGCACCAATCGCGCCATCCGCCGCCACTGACGCCGCTTCCAGAAGCCTTCCAGAATCCCGGCGCCGGGGGGCGCAGCGTCGGCTGACTGCGCGGGCGGCAAAAGAGCTGCCCCAGCTGCTCCAGCCCTCCGTGCTCTCGGGGAAACTGTGTCTGGGCGTTGGCGGAGCGGAGGCTTGTGTCGGCTGAACGAACTGCCTTGGGACTAACGCTCCCCTAGCTACTCGTTTCCAGGCACCCTCAAGCCAACCACGGCCACCTGCCCCCGGCCTGTCCGCCTGTCCGACTCGCTGGCGGCCCAACTGCCTGACCATACGCGCCCTCACCTTGCCTATCCCAGCCTGCAGCGTTGTCTGCCGGCACGGCTCATTGTCGGCCAGCATGCGCAAACAGTGCGCCCACTCCCCAGGCGGAGGCCCCAGGACTCCACGAACCCACTTCGCCGGCGTGGGCTGCCCACCTTTGCGGAGGCCCATGGCCCCATCAATCCTCCTCTGCCGATGCTCGGCCTAGCCCAGCATCCCTCGCGCTGCCCGACACCACCTGTCATGCCATCAGTATGCGCGTGGTGCCGAAGGAACTTGCCTTCTCACCACCCGTCTCAGCCACCTTGGCACGCCGTGCCTGTCTGTCGCCCGCTCTCTCGTGCCTGCAGTTGCCACGCTCTGCCCACGCTCTGCCCACGCGCGCCGCCCGCCTCCTCGACCCGTCTGCCAAGCCACCCGCCGAGCCTCCAAGCAGACCGAGGGCCTGGAGGCATTGCTCTAGCAGCGATGCGCTAAGGAGCACAGGCCTCCGCAGCGCGCCCTCCGAACCGCTTTCGCAAAGTCCCCGCGTCGTCACAAGGTCCGCATGGGCCCATGTCCTTGCCGCATCGCCTTACGGCCATTGCGGCTTTTGCTGACCTCAATGGCGCCGCCGCGCAATTCAACGCCAAGCGCCTCTGCTCCAGCTGCTTCGTCTCCACTCTCACGGGTCGCCATTCATAAAAGCCCACTTCCCCGGCTGTCTGCCATTTCCCTTCCCCACGCCCTCCAGTCTCCCTCGCCGATCATCACCCACACCAATCTTTGAGGAGCCCCAGAAAACCTACCGCCAGCCATGGGTTTCGCTCTCAAGAAGCCCGACGACGTCGCCGGCGCCGCATGGTACGCCCACACGCTGCCTCTCAACACCATGCCATCACTGACCCCTGTCACAGGCCCGCCATTCTCATTGGCCTGTTCGTGGCCTTCGGTGGTGTCCTCTACGGCTATGACACCGGTACCATCTCTGGTATCCTGGCCATGGACTACTTCAAGGAAGAGTTCTCGACCGTCTCGCCCCCGGCCATCACTGCCTCGCAAGAGTCTCTGATCGTCTCCATCCTGTCCGCCGGTACCTTCTTCGGCGCTCTCACTGCTTCTCCCGTCTCCGACATCCTCGGTCGTCGCTATGGTATCATGTTCTCCGCCATGGTCGTCTTCAACCTGGGAGTCATTCTCCAGACTGCCGCCACTGCGCAGCCCATGTTCATTGCCGGCCGTTTCTTCGCCGGTTTCGGTGTCGGTCTCATCTCTGCCATGAGTAGGTTCCTTCGAGATGCCTCCCCCGCTTCCAAGTGCTCACATACCCCGCAGTTCCCATGTACCAGTCCGAGACCTCCCCCAAGTGGATTCGTGGTACCGTTGTCGGTGCTTACCAGCTCGCCATCACCATTGGCCTCTTCCTTGCTGCCATCGTCAACAACAGTACCAAGCACCGCATGGACACTGGCTCATACCGCATCCCGATCGCCATCCAGTTCGCCTGGGCTCTGATCCTCTTCATTGGGTAAGTCGAAAACTTCCGACGGTTCGCCATGGCGCTAATATCGTCTAGTCTCATCTTCCTCCCCGAAACCCCTCGCTTCCTCGTCAAGCAGGACAAGCACGAGCAAGCCACCGCCTCGCTTGCCCAGCTGCGCCGCCTTCCTCAGGACCACCCGGCCGTTGTCGAGGAGCTTGCTGAGATCGTCGCCAACCACCACTACGAAATGAGCGTCGGCACTGCCAGCTACCTCGAGTGCTTCAAGGGCACTCTTGGCAAGCGTCTCATGACCGGTTGCTTCCTCCAGGCTCTGCAGCAGCTTACCGGTGTCAACTTCATCGTAAGGGCTACCCCACAATCACGGACCGAGTTTCCATTGGCTAACCCCCTCCCCAGTTCTACTACGGTACCCAGTACTTCCAGAACGCCGGTTTCCAGAACCCCTTCGTCATCTCCGTCATCACCAACTCGGTCAACGTCGTCTCCACCTTCCCCGGTCTCTACCTCGTCGAGAAGATGGGTCGCCGCAACCTGCTGCTCATGGGCGCCATCGGCATGTGCGTCTGCCAATACATTGTTGCCATTACCGGTACTGTGGCCGGCACCTCGGACTTGGCTGCGCAGCGTGCTGCCATCGCCTTCGTCTGCATCTACATCTTCTTCTTCGCCTCGTCCTGGGGTCCCGTCGCATGGGTCGTCACCGGCGAGCTGTTCCCGCTCAAGGTCCGCGCCAAGTGCTTGTCCATGACCACGGCGTCCAACTGGCTCCTCAACTGGGCCATCGCGTACGCGACCCCGTACATGGTCGACGAGGAGCACGCCAACCTCCAGAGCAAGGTCTTCTTCGTCTGGGGCAGCTTCTGCTTCGTCTGCATCGCCTTCGTGTGGTTCCTCATCTACGAGACCAAGGGCCTGTCGCTCGAGCAGGTCGACGAGCTGTACCAGACTGTCAACAAGGCGTGGCAGAGCCAGGGCTTCCGCCCGCAGATCTCGTTCCAGGACGTCGACGACGTCGCCGACGGCCGCAAGATGTCGCTGCACGCCGCGGCGGACCTGGCCGCCAGCAAGAAGACCGTCAACATGGCGGAGAAGGCATAGGTGGAGTCGGACTGACTCGGTGTTTGTTGCTCTTTCCAATCCTCAGGATGTTGGAGACGAGTCGAGTGTTGCCACGGTGTTCCTGTTCTTTCCTTTCCTAGTTCATATCACTACTTGTAATGAGGCGACGCAAGCCATCTACGAGATACGCTGTTACGCACGCTTAGTATAGCGAGACCAAAAGCTTAAATATATAACATAGTCGAATATACCCCGTTTATAACTGAAAGTCCCTACCTCGCATGTGCATCTTTTATTATCTTGACTTGTAAAAGAATCGAGTCCATACGAATATTACACCTTACTTACGGGTAGTCGAATCACATGTCCGGATACATGTATGCAGTCTTGAAACTTATGTTTGTGTCAAAATATTTGCTTCGGCTACCCTTTGTAGAAGGCCCGCTCGATTCCAGGTCAAATTTTGTCCATTTCTTTCTTTCTTTCGTGGCATTCTCTTGTCTTTTCCTCTTGTACATATCCACCGATGCAAACCTGCCTCGCCATCCGTGGGTTAGACCGAACCCCATAGACTGATTCAGCTCTACCGTGCCGTATGACTCACTCCGTCTCCCGTCCGTCCTTTAGGCGCACAATCAAATTCCGCGATATACCTCGTGTTGTTAAGTATGTATGTATGTACGTACGTACGTACAATCGACACCCGCTCACCTCGCTAGCCCTCTGCCCATCCATCCATCCATCTATCTGCCCAGCGACCTCAGCCCAGCCAGCACACATGCCTACTCACTCACCTACCTACCAGCTGGCCTCTACACGCTCAACAGTTCCTGCCTGTGACGCAATGGCAGATGGGGTGTTTTTTTTTTTTCCTTTCTCTTTTCTCCATGCAGGTATCTATCTTCACAGCTGACGCGTCGTACACGGCTCAGACCAAGTATCCAACTACCCAGAACGTTTACTGGAGACAGGTCTGGGTTCCGGATCGGATCGGATCGCTGTGTATCAAGGGTCTCCCCCTGTCCCACGTGTCTTTCCACAAGAGTTCGAGAGGCACGCAAAAATCAACCGCTAGACGCGGATACAAGGTGCATAGGCCGTTGGTTAGTTGACACAGCTGTATGTAGCATCAGTCACGGTAAATGTGAAATTCTTCAGACCGGGGGAATATCCAAGCCTGGGATGTAAAAACAAAGCCGAGGTTTATTTATGCCGACTCTTGTTCGGCCCGTGAGTAGGGTAGTCAAGAATGCAAATCTCGCGAACGCCGATGTATGTGTATCTTGAAGTGCCGACCCCCTCCCGACCAAATCTGATGGTGATGGGGCAAACCTACTTCATAATATACTCGCTGCTCGCCCAAACCAACTCTAAACCCTTCCCACCCTCTTTCTCCAATTCATAGAGCACCCACCGCTTCATCACCACGACATCAAACACCGGACGGGTCCATCCGGCCCCCGATCCCAATCCCATCCCCCATGCCTACGGAAGGACGGCACGACTGCATCATCATCGTCGCGCTACTCTTCTTCTTCTTCTCGTCGTCGTTTAGGAGGGAATGATGGTGGTGGTTATGGCAGGCAGCGCGGCGTGGGAATGGTTGTGCGTGTTGAAGGAGGAGGAGGAGTGGCGGAGTGGAGTGTCGGGGCGGAGGTAAAGTTGTTGCCGGAACTGGGGCGGTCGGCGATATTGGCGATGTGGGAGAAGGGAGATGGTGGTGAGTGGAAGCTTATGGCGATAATGCCTTGGTCTTTTTTTTTCGGTAGTGGATATGGTGGGTTTATTCGGTGCTACTATCGGTGTTAGTAGACGTGTTATGAGAAACTCAGAGCGATATGGGAGTCGCGGTCGTGGGCTATGAGGATGATTTGGGGTGGTAAAGAGGGGGGTTGAGGGACGAGGGTGGTGGAGATGGACGGGTCGATGGGTGGGTTTTGTCGTGAGGTGGGGCCGCCGTGGCCGGGGATGGTCCGGGATGAGGGGGAGTAGGCGGTGTCAGATGCAGCTCGTTTGCGGGTAGCGGTGGAGAAGGATGAGGAGAGGGCGTTGCTCCAACGAAGGCAGTGGCAGGCGGCGCAGGTACAGGTCGTCTTCGTCCAATTCGTCCGAAAGGCTCAATCACTGAGACGGATGTGTTTGTCTACAGGCATTTTCGGATAGCTTTGTCGTTGTTGGCACCAGGAACGGAGAGAGCAGCGGGGAGAGGCATGACGCCATAAGCTTGGATTGGGCAGAGTTGCCAAGTGGGGTCGGGCGTCGGTCGCGGAAATGGAGCCGGGGCCCTAGCGTCCCTTCCATCACGAGTGTTTCTTCGGCATTCCATAGGGTGGCATCTCCATGCCTCGCCCAGAGCTTCTGTTCCTGCCAGATTCTTATCCTCCCCCAACGCCACATTGTTCCCTGACACAGAGATGCAGTCGTGCATCAGCCGGAGGCCGGAGGGACCGTCAGACCGGAACCGACAATTGATCACAGATGGGATTGTGGTGTTCAGCTGTCCGCGTTCGCTCTTTCCTCGATCGTCGGGGTAGCTCGTAGCTCGCCAAGGTTGGCCGGCCCTAGTCCACCCAGGTCAGAGACGACGAATGAGCCGATGGCGACCGAAAGACACACCTTCCTAGCTGTTGGGGAATCGCATGTGCGAAGTCGCAGTGCATGCTGTCCGGTCACACCGTGACGCACCTCTGTTCGCTTGACAATGCAAGCTTGCCCCTGCGTCACATCGCAGCTTCGCCTTGTCCGGCAGCAGCTTCCGCGCCGAACAGAGAAGCAGTGTTTGAGATGAGAGATGAGAGCAGGACCGGTGTTTGCTCCGCGTCGCAGCTGCAGCTCCGGATTGCAGCTGTAGCTACCTTGCTGGTATAGCTGCTCCACTGCCCAGTCGGCTCTGTGGCTCTGCGAGATCGGACATCTGCTCCACGTCAGTGACAGCGAAACGCAGACCCACCTTCTTCATGCTCTCGCGCATATATCGCTCTCGCGTGGGTCAATGGCCGGCAATGGTGGTGGCTTTGAAGCTGTCGACTTGGTGCGGCCTGCTTGCAGCTCGGCGGCCACGCTCGCGGCCACGCTCGCGGCGGGCAGCTCGGCCAGCTTTGACTCATTCCACACGAAGCATCACGCCGAGGCTCGAGCGGTATTTGGTCTCGTGGCCGCTGCGGCAATTGAGGCATTGAGGCAATAATTGAGGCTCGGATGGGCGTAGCAGCGGTCAGCGCCGTGCGTCTGGAGTCGTCTCGCGATCTCCTGACGGTTCGTGGATGGCCCCACCCCCGCAGGCCGATCGCGCCGCTGGCTGGCCGCTGACTGGCCGCTGACTGGCTGGCGCCATCACACCACAAGCTCACCACCCGCGCCATGCCTCCGCCATGCTCCTCCCCATTCGTCATCCCACAGCGCCCGCCGCGATCCAGCCAATCCCTTGCCTGCGCCGTATTGCGTCACGCGACAGCGCCCGTTTGCAGCTGGCTGCCGCTCTGCTGCTGGGCCGGGCGCATCCCCGTGCCCGCCCCCAAGGGGTTTCCCGCGTTTCCTTCTTTGTCTGGAGCAGCCAGCTTCCCCGCATTTTGCGACACTGCCCGCGACGTGCCATGCCACGCCACCCTCGCCGGTCCCCTACCTCGCCAGCCCTCGCATGTCCTGATCCAGGCATGATCCTGCTCGCCGCTGCTTAATCGCGCACCGCACCCCGGAATGTGCTGCACAGCTGAGAGCTACCGCAGCTACCCCTCTCGAGAATCGGCCCTTAACGCTTCGCGACGCCTATATAGCTGCTGCCCGCCTGCTTGCCCCTCTGCTTCCTTTCTTTCATCATCGCATCGTGTGATCCCAGCCATTGAACCAGCAATCAATCACTCTCCATCGTTTCCTTGTCATCAAGGAATCGACCCAGCGCCCTGTAACCAACCCCACCAACCAATTCCACCATCACCACCACCGGACAGTCGTCCTCCACCACCTTTTCCCCCATCTTAACCAACCCCACCAACCGGCAAGATGAGTGTCATGGCTTCCGCGGCGCCCGCCCACCAGCAGGCTACCGCTCCCCACTGCGCACTGCTCCCCCGTCCCTACGTAAGCTGACTCCACCCTCCCCTCCTCCCATTGCAACCACTGACCCGCGCCTCAGCCCACCCACACCTTCGCCGTCGGTGACCTCCTCACCGACCTCCGCCATCCCACCACCACCACCCTCCGCACCGAGGCTCTCAGCACCAAGGACTACGACGACACGCGCCTGACGGCCTACTACAAGGACGTCGCCTCCATCTCGCCCGCGACGGGCAACTTCACGCGCTCTCTCGGCGGCGAGCTGCTGATCAAGAAGCCGAAGCGCGCCCACACGCGCTTCTGCAGCATCTCGGCCGAGAAGGCCTCCGTCCGCGCGCTCAAGGACCCCTTCAACGCCTTCGAGAAGAGCGTCAAGGCCCCCGACGCCGCCGGCTGGCTGCTGCGCGCCGCCAACGCCCACTCGCCGCTGTACTGGGTCGCCGCCGTGCGCGAGCTGACCAACGCGAGCTACGCCCACGCCGCCGCCGCCGACGCCGGCAACGGCCTGCTCACCGTCCGCCGCACCAGCTTCTCCGAGCAGCAGCACGCGCAGGACGCCGAGGAGGACGAGAACGGCGACGTCGACGGCGATGCCATGCGCGCCAAGATGGGCGGCTTCCGCCGCCGCGACTCGGCCTTCGAGGAGCCCACGCGCACCAAGACGGACGTGCTCGGCGCCGAGATCCGCGAGTGCAGGGTCAAGGTCATCAAGGACATGGCCGGCTCGCCCACGAGCCCCCACGAGCGCCGCGCCAGCATGCCCAAGTGGCGCTGGACCTACGTCGCTGTCAAGAACGAGAATGGCGAGGAGGTGCAGCTGGCCGTCGGACTCGGCGCCCCGCTCGACCAGGAGGAGGTTGCCGACCTCTGGGAGGAGGGCGATCTCGACGAGGAAGAGGAAGAGGAAGATGATGATTGAATGATATACCACAAAGCGACACGAATGCGAGGCGTTGGGAAACTGGGATCCAATCGGCGTTGTTTATTTTCTTAACTCACCGGAACGTCCCAACGGCGTCTCTCTGTACAACTTCTTGCCACTACTACCGACTTCAACCCCCAGAAATACCTATCTGCGGCGTCCTGTATTATCTTTTTTTCTTTCAGCTCTCAAGTGTAGGGAGGAAGGTGGATGGCGGCGTTTTGCACTTTTTTCTCTTTTCCAAACTATTTTGAAGATCGTTTCGGCGAGACTTCTGCAAATCCTGTGTAAATATCTACAAACAAATCAGCCGGCTTTTTTGATCATACAATCAACGCTCTTCCAAAGAAACCCTCCTCTCTGTGATGGCTCCCTTCTCTTATTAGTTGAAACGATGGGGTTCGCAGTTGATATATAAACTTTCCCCATCCTTATCGCTTAGAAAATCGCCAACCAGCGCACGCGAATACTCCTCGAGCGTGCTGTGGTTTTTTCTCGATATAAACACGCGTTAGATCTAACTTTATATAGAGAGGCTTCACGTTTCCAAGGTTCGAAATAGTCGATACTTTACTAGGCTATTATATTGGACTTCTATTTCTATTGGAGATTAGCGGAGGCCTCTGCGATAACCATGCGTCGGCCGTAAAATCGGCCGCATCTAAGGCTAGAAGTTTTATTCGTATGTTTATAAGTATCTATCGTATAAAATCTAAACGAGTCCTAGTTAACTATCCATATTTGCTAAACACCGGAAGCATGGTATATGCCTAATATTAGGGCTATATAAATAAGCATAGAGATCCTTTAACATCCCGCCGAGCGATGTATGAGGTGTTCCCACATAAAATTCCGCTATTGCGTAAAAATAGCCATTGGGAAATGGCAGATCCCACAAAGTATACGATACCATCATTATGGTAATGGTACTACCACACCGCTATAGGGATACCGTACCGTGATTTCGACTTCCGCATGACCCTATCAGTGCATTCCCCTGAATGACAACGGTGGCGCCATGGATCGTGGGTATTCCGCGAGGTTCCATGGGTCCTCTGTACCCTAGTGTGATGCGACGTGCTGTCAGTAGTCATCAACAGGCTTGTCTTATTTCCCTATTCAGCCAGCTCTAACGAAATCCAAGAAGGGCCAGATCTCTGTCCAATCCCCTTCCAGTTTATTGCGGGTGATCCTACCTCCCGGCACTTTGCATCGATCATTCACAAGCTTCTGGCCGGATCAAGCAACAGAGCTGTCTGTCTACAGGCCCACAATCCTCGCACATGACTCCGTGCAGAGCCCCGGGAAAAGGAATCCAGCTCCATTAAATGCAAACAGAATGATATTGACAACAAGGAAAGGTACCGACAAAAAGCGGCACGACCCGCATCTCACGCCCGCACGCCCGCCCGCCCGCCCGCCCGCCGGTGGACGCACCCCCCCAAACAAACACGTGTACGCAGATGATTTGTCACCTACCTACCTCCACCATACATACATGTTGCGTGCATTATTGTTGGGCGGCGGCTAAAGCACACAGCCTATAGCGCCGATCCGATCCGCCTTCTTCTGATTCGCCCCCCGCTGCATCTCACCCCCTCCCTCCCTCCGCATGTGTCAGAACAGAACAGAACAGAACACCCAAAAGCGATGTCTTACACACAGGAAGCTCGAAGCTCCCCTGGTCCGGAAAGAGTGGTTAATTAGAAGCGGGGGGAGGTGGACAATACATCCTGCTTGTATGCACCTTGCAAGGTTAACTGGAAATCCTTTTGTTGTTGGACGCCCGGAGCCACGTTGGCAGGCAGGCAGGCAGGCGGCAGATTGCTGCGCGTCGGGTGGGTGGGTTCGTTCGTTTGCCCTGAGGACCGAGCGCGGAAACGAGTGCACACTGCACGTTGCTTGATCCCGGCCGGCTTCAGCACCCGCGGTGACTGAGTACGCAAGCAGTGAACTGTCCCATTCGGGTACCCTGTCTATGAAACAGTGAGGGGAAAAAAAGACTGAATGGGCAAGACAGATATGGACGGAAAAGGTCTTGATATAACGAAAGTCGTGGGAAAGCAACGTCAAATTGTTCTCATCCTTCAATTACTCAACATCGATCTCGCAAAAAGTTTGTAATTCGAGTCTGTTGCCTACGGTGACATGTCAAAGGCAAGCGAAGCACAAACGAAAAGAAGAAGAACCAAATTACTCATGAGTTTGAAGCAAAACCGATATGTTCCCGGATCGCCTACACAAGCCTATTTACTCCGGAGCCGAGAGAAAGAGTTGAAAGAGAATGAAGAAGACCGAACAGACCGAAGTGCCTATACCGAACCGAAAAAGCCAGATTTGTAAAGAGAACGTCCCAGGCTTCGCTTCGTACCGAAAAAGAGACGCTCGCATGATGAGAAACAGGAAAGTAGAAAGAAAAATAAACCAGGCCATTCTTTCGCCAATCCGCCCCGTTCTCTCAGAAGCTACTGTGTATCGATGAATGTTGGTTTGAGGGGTATGTAACGCCATTCTTGATGCCCGCGTTCCACTTTGCCTGCTTTCCAATCCTGTTTGCACCGCTGTGTGTTTGTGCCCGAGTGTCGTATGTAAAGCCCGTCCCATGTATCCGTTCAAACTCCGGCCAGATCACGGCCAAGGTGCCCCGTTGCCGCACTTCACGTAAGGTCAATAAATCTTTCTCGCATCCGCGCGTTCGATCCGAAACCGTCGAGCCCGCCTAGTTGCCGAAGTAAAGCTTCATGGCGCTGAGGACCCTCCTCCTGCACACCGGGCAGTTGTCCACCCTGCGCGCGCAGCTCAGACACGCGACGACGTGTCCGCAGTCGTAGAAGGCGGCGTCCGCCCCGTCTTCCCAGCAGATGCGGCAGAGACGCTCGATTTCCTGCGCGTTCTTCCAATGCGTGACGCCCTCGCCGAACTTCTTGCCTGCCTTCCAGCCGCCGAGGTACGAGTTTCCGGTTTCGGCTTCGATGAAGCTGCCACGGCCTTCTGGTAGATTGTCCACCCATTCACCCTCGTAAACGTCGCCGTTGGGATACGTGAGACGCCCGTTGCCGTGACGCTGTCCGAGACGGTAGGAGCCGACGTACTCGCTTCCATCAAAGTAGAGATGGCAGCCGGATCCGTGCGGGCGCCCGCGCACGAGCACCCCCATGTAATGCTCCGAGCTGAAGTAGTCCATGGTGAAGTGGCCCGTCAGCGGAGTGGTAGATGTGACGAAGCGGGCAGCTGTTGCGTGCTGGACGTAATCGACAGGGTCCGAGAACAGGGCGCGGCTTGCGAGCGCAGACCTCTGTTCAGAGCTGAGACGTGCTTGTGCGATGAGGATGGCAGTGCTGTGAATGCCGGCCTGATTGAAAGATACGCCTCCACGTTGGAGCCTGGTAACGACTGTGGGTGCTTCTTCCTCAAACAGGTCAAATGGAACGTCGCGTGGCCAGTCCAGAGCATCGAGAACTGAATGGTCAATTCGGTCACTCTTTTTGGCCACCACCGTCTTGTGCGCTCTCAATGTCTGAGACTCTGGCTCGAACTCCTTCAAGAAGTAATAGATCTCTTCGTGGGAAGCAGTGAGGTTGTGGGTTATCGGAGGAGGTACGGCGAAGTCGAAAGGAGGAATGTTTGGATTCGTTATCACAACCACGTTGTCCATAGACTGAAGAGGCGGGGTGATGAAGTCGGCAGACATTGGCGGAGGTGGTGGCGGAGGCATGGCGTGCACAGCCTCAATGTTGTTGGCCATCTCAGTGTCGCTACCGTCAGCTACTGAGGTATGGGGTGGCCGAGGAATGGCGAAGGCTGGATCGCCGGTGACGTCCACGGCGTGTTGGCGAGCAGCCTGAGCAGCAAGTCCTTCGGTAATCACAAGGTCCATCTGTTCATCCGGGTGATTGCCGTTTTCCTCTGCATCATTCATCGGAGAATCTTCGCTATGCGGGACACCCGCAATTCCGGACTCGGGAACCTCGCTGACCGAGGTAGTTGGCTTGGGCAGCTCAGGCAGATCCGCGAAGTCCAACACATGTACCCATATCCTGCGCTCCGGCCGATGCTCTGCTGCAGTCTTAAGCGTCCAGGTCGGTGACTGATCCGGATCATCGCGAGGGTCCTCGATCGTGCTGCTGCTTCGCATTGTCGGTCGATGGGACGTGCCGTTCGGGTGGTCGAGGAACCAGAATTTGACTTGACGGGGATCCTTGGCTTGGAATTGCTGCGCTAGGAGTTTTCTGACTTCCCTTGCAGATGCAGAGGCAGGGAGCTTGACATTGGTGCGATAAGGAGAGGTTTCCCACTTGCGGTCCGAGGGATCCATGGTACCGGGCCCCTCGTGCTGAGTGAAAGCGGCAGAGTCAAAGACCTGGTAGTCCAAAGTCTCCTCCGTTGTCTCAAAAACTGATTGCTTGCGACCGCAAGGGGAGCGGTTCTTCAACCATTGAGGTACCTCCCATTTTGGCTCATCTTTGCTGAATTGTTTCGGAACAACGTCTTGACGGACGTACATGACAATATAGGCCACAGCCGACTTTTCTGTGCCACCACCCTCATGCGCCTCGATTGCTTGCCTTCTAGTTAAACAAACCACGCGGTTCTCTTCCTTGCCGTCGTAGTACGCGTACCATTTGCCTCCAGGACCTTTGGGCCGAACGACTGAATAGTACGATCCGGACTGGAGGCTGTCTCTGTGGACAATGAATCCATAGAGGATGTAGGCTGTCTTGTGGATGGTGACCTTCTCCAGCAACTTCACCTTGTCTGCCCTCTTCCGCATAGAATGGGCTTCCCGGTTGAACTCCTGTCGCTCCAACTCCACATGCAGAACTTCCGGTAGGGGAGCCCCTGGCTGGACCAGGTTGACCGACTTGTCGATCGCAGCCTGCATGTCTGCGCAACCCGTGACCGGCGCGCGATATGTTGGCATGTTCATCATGCGATCTCTCTCTGGTCCGAACAGGTCCTTCAGCTTGTCCCTGGACGGTGTGTCCGCCAATTCGTACTCAATCTTCGCCCGCAGAATCTCCCAGATCTCGATAACGTCCAGCTTGCTCAGAGAAGAATCAGTACCGTACCACTCCAGCGCATCTGCGACATCGTCCAAATCTACTGGGCCTGATCCAGGGAGAACATCGGTCCGTAGCTTGTAGATTGTTCGTTGGAGAGCAGACAGAAGCGGCTTTGGCTTTGCTCTGGCTTCTTTGGTGGGATCGGCCAGCTCGAGCTCGTAGAGGAATTTCCGGAAGGGCTTCAGCAGCATCCATGAGGAAACTGCGGCAATCAAGCTACCGCCATGTGATTCGTACTCCGAATCCGCCAGCCCCTGCAGACCCGTCATGGCAAAGCTGTCCCATCTGTTCTCACGGCTGTGATGCTCCCACAAGCACTCGGTGGGATCATTGATGATCCGAATATGAGCAGTGAGCACCAGCTTATCGTTTCGAAGCAACGCCTGGCGCTGACCCCGTTGTCGATAATGAATTTCAAAGTAGGGGCCCGCAAAGCGAGTCCAGCCCCAATCTGGCGAATCCGGGCAGAATCTGTGTGAGCATTGTCGGAAATAGTTTGTTCGTGGCTCGGCAGGGTTGTAGAGCACAACGGAGACTTGCGCCGCGACACTTCGCCGTTTGAGGACCGGTTCTTCGGTGAGCAGAGGAAGGGGCCCTTGCCGATATTCCGTGGACGGAGCTGCTGTAGAAGATGGGCGGGGCTTGGCGTGCAGGTTGGGGGTCTCGGAATTGACTCCAAGTGCTCTTTCAGGTGCGGATGCATCATTCTGGTTCTCTTTTCGTGCCACGGATAAGCATTCAACATACACGCTCAAGAAATCCGAGTCATTTCCTCGAGGGTAAAACTTGATTTGCCAATCGTAGCCTCCGACGTTCACCACGGGCGACTTCATGAGAAGCTCCCGGTTAGGGTTTTCCCGTGTGCCGTTGTAGTTCGAGATGGTCCAATCCACTCTTCCCGTTGGCCCAGGAGTGTACTCAGGGTCGTCGAGGTCTTGGAAGGTTCTCCGTTGCCAGTACTCATCTACGATTATCCTCTTCAGCATGCTGAACCAGAGACTGTGAGTTGAAGGAACTTACCATCCAGCGCACTATGCTCACCCATAGCCTCGATCTCTCTAAGCTCCTCCTCGTTTGGCACCGATGTGTCCTCCTTGAGCTCCCTCCACGGAGGAAGCACATCCTCTTCGTCATCTGAGGTCTCTTCGTGTTCGCCAGCTGCACCTCCAGCACGGGGAGAACCAGGTGTAGACTGCGGGGGAACGACAGCAGGCGGAGGCGGTGGCGGTGGCACTAGAGGATGCTCATTGGGGTCTCCGGCGCTATCAATAGAGCTACCGCGCGAGTTGACGCGGGTGAGGGCATCCCCGATCGTCGGGATTGGATGCTCGTTTGCGGGTGCCGACGATGGAGGCGCAGGAGGGCTGCCGAGAAAGTCAAGAGATAGAGGCGGAGCGTTGGGACGGCCAAAAGTAAAGCTTCCAGGCGCGTCGGGAGATGTGTCCATGGCGTCTTGCTCCTCACGCAGTGCCATGGCAGGCCCGCTGGGAGGGGGAGCCGGGTCCAAAGGCGCACCAGACCGGATCAGGTGTGCAGGCAGCTCCTCGGAGCCGTCTGTGTCATCCATGTCCGAATCCTCGCTCTCACTCTGATCGACCGTCGGCGCAGGCGGGTGCGGGTTGTTCTGGCTCAGGCCGGGGTCGTCGGGGAAGAGCGGTGGGTGAGCGCGCGGGCTGGTCGGGCTCTGGGATGCAGTCTGAGGGAAGGAGGCGAAGGAAGGCGGTGTCGGCGAGCGCTGGCCGAAGAGCAGAGGCGGAGGATCAACGTTGGCGGAGCTTGTTGTAACGCTCATGGTGGTGGAGTCAGGGCGGCGCAGGAGCGAGGGTGATGCAGCAGGCAGACATGCGCACTTCTGGGTCAGCGCGATAAAGAAGGAGGCGCGAACGAGGCGCAGAGGGCAGCGGTGGTGCGGGCTCGGGCGCAGAGAGGGCGCGAAGGTTAGTGTTGGAAGTGCGAGGCTGCAGCTGGGGTTATCGGGTAAGTTTAAGCTGTCCAAGCTGCAGTTAGGAAGCTCCACGTAAGAAGCCGCATCCGCAGGACAAGTCGGTCCCGCCGTCCAGAATGCTTAAATAATGCACGGCAGCAGGCATCACGCCTCGACGAGTCGCAGGCAGCGCTGGCAATCACAAGCATGGCATGGCGGCGTCCAGCCTCACTCCAGAAGCTCGGGCCGTTGCCTCAGAAGCTCAGACGCGCGCCTTCCCGCGGCTGATTGGTGTAATTACGATGATTAACTGCCTGGCACAGCCATGGCGGCTGAGCGTCTGGCTCGAGGGAGCTTAGCGTAACTACAAGGCTGAATCCAGCATGGTGCGCGGCCGGGGTCTGAGCTTCTGAGGCCGCTTGATCCTGAGCTCCGTTCGCCTGATCTGAGCGTACCCGCAATTCCCGGCCCCCCGCCGCCAGCCAGCGCTGCTTGAAACACGCCCGCCGCGAGCAGCTGCCAGCGAGCCAGAGCCCGCCGTGTGCCGTCACCGTTGCGGGGTCGCGTCAGCCGCAGCACAGTGAGAGTGACGAAAGAAAAGCAGCCTGCGGCCATCCTTGTGTGGGCGGTTGGAGCCATTGTGTTGAAACGACCCTTCGTAAGTAGCTGAAACGGACATCTATGGGAGCATTAGAACCGTACGGATGCATCCAAATGTAGGACTCCGCTGCCCATGTGGGCGGGCCGGCGTCTTTTGTCACCCACTGTAGCAGCACCGATGGGGCCACCGTCATCGCTGCAAGCTGGTGCCTGCTCCAGGCCGCCGCCTGGGCGAGGCTCAACAGATCCTTGCTGTGACGCGCCAGGAGGTCGTCTCAGCCCGCATCGAGAACGATCCGCGCCGACCGTGTCATCTCGTTTCACGGCCACCCTGCCTCTCGCAGCTCCTGTTCCCATGCTTATCGGGGACGTCGGAATATTATCTTTTCTATGGTATCATCGTGCAACGCGGCTGCGTGCTGCCTGTCTATTGGCGACGCCCGCAGCGCCCCATTTCTCCGCTCTATTTTCTCGGCTTCGCAAACGTCGCCGCCACGATCAGCGGGAACACGACCGTCGCCTCCGCGTACACCTTGACGCTATCGCCGTCCGCCTTGATTTTGCCCCAGCTTACAGCCTCATCTGGCCGCGCCCCCGCGTCGCTCCCGTCAAACTCTTGCGCCGTGTTGATGTACACTGCGCTCTCCGCTCCGTTGCGCATAAGGTTCGCGTTCGCGATGTGGTGCTTTACGATGCCGCCGCCCAAAATGATGATTCCGCTGCGCTTCGCCCTGACCGCGATGGTGTTGATCTTGCGAATGTCTTCGACAATGTCGACCCGCAGCTGCTGCGGGCTCGCTTTGAACGTATGGAAATACAGCATGTCTCCGAGCGAGCCGTCGGTCAACGCTGGACAGAAGACGGGGATGTCGTTCTTCCACGCCCAGTAATACACGGAACGTTCGTCGTTAATCTCCTTGCCGAGGCGGTGGATCATCTTGCTGGGCGTCCAGTGGATCGGTTCCTCAGAGTCGCGGCTAGCTTCCTGCTCGGCGAGCATGGAGTCCAGGATCGGCACGACCCAATCTTCGAAAGCGCAGTAGTTGCTGTTCGGCACAACCAGGTTCCCGATGCGGTTCATTCCCTTGGCGCGGAGCGAGGCGCCCGAGGTCTGGAAAGAGCCCAGGTAGGTTGGCGCCAGGCATTTGATAAAGTCCTCCTCGACGCCGCCGGCCGTCGTCACAATGGCCGACACGTGCTTGTGCTGTACGAGATAGCGTAGCGTCTCGCGCAGGCCAGAGGAAATGAGATTGGACGTGTAGCCAAGGAATATGGTGGTGCCTTCGCCCGTTTCGGCATCCTTCCAGGTTCGCTATGACGGTGTTAGAACAGGGAAAGCTAGCGACAGGGCAATTGGCGCACCATGCCCTCAATGACCCTGACGGCCTGTCCAACCGAGGTCGCCTGGAACCCCATGTTCTCCATGCCGGCGACCAGCTCCTCCACGGTGATGCTCTTGCCTGCGTAGTCATTGAACTCGATGCCCTTGACCTCCCGCGCGCCCTCGGGCACGGGATCCGAGGGCTTTAGCACGGCATCCGTCGCTCCTGATGGTGCTTCGCCGAGTGCAGCATTTGGTGACGCCGTCGTGGCGCTGCCGGTTTGCGTGCTCATTTTCTTTGTTGGAATAATGTGTGGGGTGAGGTCGCGCCGAGTGAAAATCGTTAAGACCTGGACCCTCCGCGGGGATGATTCGGCAGCGCCCGGCCGCGATTGCGATCGCGCGTGTCAGACTCAGAGGCGGCCCGCCGCAGCGCCCTGGGCAAGACGCCAGCGCCGTTGCGCGTCTCTCATCACACCATTCTGCTCAGCCCGCCCTGCGCCGTTGGAGAAGCGATGCACGTGACGAGCAGCCCTTTCCAGCAGCCAGGAATACGAGATCGGTCCGCACAAGATTGATGAGCGCGGCACACCAGCGGCGGTGCGTATGGGGGTGAAGCGTGAAGCTTGTCTTGCCGACTGATTCAGCGCGGCACTCGCAGCGGCAAGGCTGATGCATGCCGTGCGTATGAGGCGCCGGACGGGAGCGGTCGTCGAGAGTGCGATGCAGACACCGTGCTCTCGAGAGAGCCGTCGTGCCGTCCGGACGAATGCCTCATCTCTCTCCGCAGGACGTGCGCAAGGGCTTTCTGCAGCACGTGGCACCTTGCCCGATCTCTCCAGGGCCTCCCCAAAGCGGCGCCCTCGCCAGCATCATCATTGCCCAGCAGCGGCGGCGGCAGCGACGACACGTGCATTGGCACGCTCGTGCAGCCGCAGCCGTCGCTGCTTTCTGCTCGTCGGGCTGCCTGCTGTTGTGCGCCTGGCCGCTGGGACTCGACTCGACCCTCAGTTCGAAAACGACGTCACGGCTTTGATTGGCCTGGGTTCGGTGGAACGTTAGCGCATGGCTGATCGCCCACAGCACCCCTTGTTTTGGGCACTTCACGGGCTGAGAAAGTAGCAGGGATTCGGCGCCTGGCCCGCCGCACGCATCTGGCGCGAAAACCTTGAGGTTCTTCCGACCCCTGACGGGCTGCCGGCTGAGGCGACAGCCTGGCCAGCCGGGCCAGCCTGGCCAGCCTACCTAGCCAGCCTCTGCTGCACGCGCCCTGCACGCCGTGATGAGCACACGCGGGCGACGGCTGCGGCTAGGCGCGGCGGCTCTCGCGCCCGGCTGTGCTGCGATGCCGCGATGCCCAGGCGGGGGCGCTGACAGACGCCCGTCTTGCTCGAGAAGGCTGCGGGAGCGCAGGCTGGGGTGACACGCCCTTGATCAATGTTTCAGCGGTGCGGCGGAGGGCTTGGGCTGCGCATAGCATGGGCTAGCTCCAGCCGTCGGGGCTCCCACGCATCATCTTGAAATGGCCAGCCAATGAGCGTCGCGCATGCGGAATGGGGAGCGCAGAGCTTCTGCAAGTGCTCTTCCAGGGCGGTGGAGCGGCCCTAACCCGCAGTCGATTGTGTCCCGGTCCGTTCTTCTCGTCTCACATCTCCTCTCATCTCTTGACAACACTCGCAACAACACCAGCCCAGCACGCGCACCCTCCCGCGCGTCCACCCCCCGCCCCGCCTGCCATCGTGATGCGCCAGGCGCAGTGAACGACCGCCGCCTTTCCCATCGCCGCCCGCCCGCGAGCCGCAACAGCCTGCGGAGCCGAGAACCGCCACGTCAAGGCCTCTAGCCAGGGTGCAACCGCGACTGCACAGGCGCTCGCCGTCCTGCAGGACCGCCCGAAGCCCAGCCCGAGCTCAGCAGCAGCAGCGCGCCCCGTCTGCCCCGTCCCGTGCCGCTGCAGTGCCGCGGAGCGCGCAAGCAGACGCCCCCCCAGCGTGTGGAGCCTGGCCTGTCAGGGCGTTGTCACCCGTCAGGCACTTGTCTCTGGTCTCGCCTTCCCTGGGCGATCGGTAAAGGCGCTCGGACGCCGCCAAGGCTACCCGCCCGGCTAGTCTATTTTTGAAACGACACTTCGTTGACACCATCCATCTGCATCTCAATCCGCCATCACCGCCATCTGAAGTTGGGTACGTGTTCGTCCCTGTCCCCGCCCCTGTCGCCCCGCTTTGCCGCGCCTGTCATGAGCGTGTGCCCCCTGTGCGCGGTCCCGCGGAACGCTTCCGAGATCGGGCTCCGCCGTTGTGGTACTGGCCCCTCAACTTGACCCAAAGACCTCGTCTGGCCTTCCCACCACGCGCCCTGTCCTTCTTTTCTGTTGTTGTTGGGATGACCGCCTTCCCTGGGCAGAAATTTCTTTTCTATAAGATGGACAGCAAGAGCGCTCTCCCTCCGGGCTCACCTTTCCCCTACCCTCGGCATGGCATCGACGATCCTTGTCCGTTCATATGCTTTGTGCATTGCGTCACCCTCCTCACTGCCTCATCAGCTGTCTTTTTCTCACCTTGTCCGAATTTTGCATCGTCGATAGCTCCTTCAAACATGTTGCTAACGTGGTTCTTTACAACTGTAGGTGCTCTGCGCCCGAAAACTCATGCTGGCTAGCGTTTAAGTTTTTAGATTTGGAAATCAGCTCGCCAGCGAATCGGACGGAGGATAGGATGTCCTCCAGATATCCTAACGACTCCCGCTACACATCGCGTGATCGAACGCCTCCACGATACACCGACCGACGAGCGTCTACTTACAGCTCCAGCTTTACCCCCAGGAACGACGATTCCAGTAGCGGAAGGCCTTACCCGGATTCCATTAGCGGTTCGGCATCCAGAGACGTTCCCCGCGGCCCGAAGGCGCTTTCGGACTCGACCCGAGGCCCGCCACCGGGAGGAAGTGCCTCCGTGCCCGCCGGACCGCGAGGCCGAGGATTTGGAGGCCGTTCCGAGTATCGTGAGCTGCGAGATGCACCTCCACTGAGTGACGGAAGAGGGGGATCTTCGTGGCGTGGCGGCGACAGGGATCGGCATTTTGATCGGCGAGACAGACCGCTCTCGCCACGTGCACGTTCTCCGGGACGGGACTCTCGAGACTCGCGTGATTCGCGCGATTTTGGGCCTCGGGAGCTGGACATTGATCGCGCTCGCAGAAGTGCGAGAGATGGCCCTCCATCGGCGGGGTCCAACTACTCGGATCCTCCATCCGGTGGGTTTGGATTCCACGGACGCGGTGGGTTCAGCGGTCGCGGTAGGGGAAGAGGCGATTGGGACAATCGCGGACGTGGGCGAGGGTCTTTCGCCGACGACCGTAACTCTTTCCGACCGAGGAGCAGGTCTCCACGTCCAAGGTGGGAGAAGGAGCCATCTCGTGATGACCGGATCAGCGACCGTAGAGACGATCGGAGGTTTGACCGTCGCGATGATGACCGGCCGTTCTACAGAGACGATCGGGAGGTCGATAGATACAAGCGCGATCCCGTGTCTTCACGGGACGCCGACATCCGGAGGGCAAGTGTGGCTCATGATGGCCGGTTCTCAAGTGCGGCCAGTTCAACATCTCACCAAAGTCCACGGCATCCATCCATATCTGGTCATGGCGGTGGCGTGGACCGCGCAAGCACATCAGACTTGCCAAGGGAACTACTCCCTGGTCGGCGCGCCTCTGTCGCACAAGAGCCTGTGTCAGCCAAAGACAAGCCTGACTACATAGCAGCACGTGCAGAGGCTTCCAGAGATCGTTATGGCCCACGGGCTTCCTCTCCGCCCCCACAAGCCCCACAGGTGCCTGCGTTTGGGTCAGTCTCATCCTTCCAAAAACCGGCCACGACTTTCACGACCCCGACCTCGAATGTCTGGAGGCCTCCGCAACCTGCACAACCACAGGCTCCCGCGTCGGGCGTGCCTTCAGGCCCCAAAATCCCTCCCAGTGCTCCCAAGGCCTTATCAGCTGTTCCTCCTACTGCCCCGACCGGCCCCAAGGCTACTCGCGTTGCGGAGAAGCCAACTGTTGAGAAACCTGCTCCTGAAATACCGCAGCCTACCTCAACCACAGCGGAACAGTCCAAGCCAAAGCTCGAGAATGGTTCTTCTGTACCGAGTCAAGTCCCGGTTGCACCCTCAGGTCCCTCTTCCGAACAGCAAGATGTAGCGCCTCGCTCTCGCCCTCCTTCGCCTCCCATTGCACCTCCTACTGGCCCAGCCGCTCTTCAAGCCCGCCTACCTATCCCCGCTCCCCCCACCGGTCCTCGAGGGCTCGTTTCACCGCAGCAACCCCACAGCCGCCTTGTGCCTCCCCCGGTCGTTCCGCCTCGCGATGGCCCTCCAGCTACAAATATCCCGCTTGGACCGCGAGCATCGGGTCCGTTCAGCACGTCTCCGAGAGGACCTAATGCCGGACTTGGTCCAGGTCCAGCCATTCCTACAGGGCCCAAAGCCGATCGTGGCCCCCCTGTTGCACCTCGGGCTGCTCTCTTCCCCCAAGCTGAAAGACAGCCGATCAATGCACCAAGAGCTCCGATGATGGGGATCCCTGGCAGGAATCTGCAATGGATCCGACCTGACGCTCCCCGGTACAGTCGGGGCCCTGGACCAATTGTCCCTGCAAAACGAGATCTCGATGGCGACGAAAAGGAGAGGTACACTCCGAATAGACCCAGGTCCCCTGCGTTTGCTGTTGGTTCTCCTGTCAGTGGACCTGCGACGCCGACGCCCTCGGCGCATGACACAATGTCAGTACGACGCAAGTCTGCCAGCGAGATCAGATCCCGTGATGAGGCTCCAGAGACGCTCAGCGCCAGACGAAACTCTGCGTTTGCATTTTCCGAGTCGAACATCAAGGCGGAGCGGCCTTCAACCACACCTCAACCGCTGGAGCCCCACGCGCGTGAATCACAGTCGGACGAGGCCAGCGAAGACGACGATGAAATGGATCTGGACGATGAGTTCTTCAGTCAGAAAACTAGATACGAACGCGAGAAGGTCCGTCTCGAGTCGCGTCTGAAAAACTTGGAAGACCGAGGCTTCCGATGCAGTAGCCCTTTGAAGACGCTACTCCGGTTGTCTCGCATTCGTGAGGCTGATCTCCCCCGGTCCGCACCGGCTCCTGTAGTCGGGGTAGCACCGAATACCGGAAACTCCCACAGGATCAAGGAGCCTGAGAGGATGGAGCCAGACTTGCATTCCCCAACTTCCACTATGAACGGGCCGATGGTGGGACCGCCGAACGAGAGGGCGGAGAAGGCGCCACCTGTGATGGCGCAGCCCGTACCGAAGGGAGAGGCCCCGAAGCTCCCCACTCCAAAAGCTGAGGAGTCGGAAGACGTCGAGATGGGAGAGGCCAGCGCCGTCGAAGAGGTGGACGGTGGAGTCCAAACTGCTTCCAGCGAGGACGAATCCATCACCGAAGTCGACCTTCATTCATTACCCTACCTCAACCGAGGCCCGCCGACACCGCTTTCTGACCCCGACCAAGAGAACACGGGTCTCAGAACAAACATCATGGCTGCAATCAAGGACAAACTCTTCAATAATATCCGCGCCGAGCAAGAGTTTCAAGGCACAGCTCTCCATATATTCCGGATGCAGTATCACAACTGGGGTTTCGAATCAGCTCATCGGGAGAAAGACGCCGCCATGCGCGAGGAGAAAGAGAAGACTGAAGAGCAAGAAGCAGCGGTGTCACCCAGTGAAACCAGCACTACAGGACCCGCTCACAGACAACGCCACGTTACGGATTACGATCTTGAGAATATTCTTGCCGAGTCCAGAAGGATGGAGGAGGAGAGAATAGAAAAGCAGAGGAGAGAGGAGGAAGCAAGCAGAAATCCTTTCTCCAACGGACAGGCTCCGATTCCCGACATGTTGCCGGACGACGAACTCGAGAGGCGAAAGTTTGTCAACACCAACCGCCTCCGCGAGCCCAGCAAGGGAATACTTACTTTTGGCTTTGAACCTCCTGAGGACGACTTCTCACCGGAGGAGCACAAGAAGCTGGTCACAGCTTACTTGCAGACTCCTAAGGATTGGGGTGAGATCGCCAAGGCTCTTCCCAATCGCAACTTCAGGGAATGCATCAACCACTACTACGCTACGAAGTGGAATGGAGAATACAAACCCCCGACTGGTCGTCGCAAAGCCAAGCGCAGGGCCGGAATTCCCAAGGGGAGGAAAATCGCAATCCCGTTTGCCAGCACTGACCAGGTCGATGGTGAAGATGGTACTATCGCTACGACGACAGAACGTGGCCGGCCTCGACGCGCAGCGGCGCCCACATTCGGCGACAGGGAGATGCAAGATGATCATGCTACCCCGGTCCCGACTCCTGGACGCCAAAGGGGTGCATCGACTAGAGGGGAGACCGTCGAGCCGAGCACCGAGAAGCCTGTCAAACGCCAGCGTGTTGCGAAGGAAAAGGGCACGAAGCGAGGGCGTGCGGCCCAGCAACTTGCTCCTGCGCCGTCGGCGTCTCCCTCAAAGACGGATAAAGACATGTACCCAGGCGAGGCAGCCCTCGACCCGAGTAGGATGCATCGAACCGAGGAAGAGGCAGCACTGCTCGCCCGTCTACCGTCTGTCCAACCCGATATTGCTGGTCAATTCGGTGAAACCGCGTACCAGGTCCCTCAGACAGCACCGGTCCCTGAACGACCCAAGGGTCGTGGCGCTGGTTCTCGTGCTGGTGGAATGTCAAGTTACTGGTCTGTGAACGAGTCCACTGATTTCCGCAATTACCTGGGTTATTTCGGTACAGACTTCCACGCGATCGCGAAGCAGATGGGGACTAAAACTGCGGCGATGGTCAAGAATGAGTATTTCCGAAAGACCGACTCTGGCAATCATCCTGAGCTTGTTGAAATTGCACAAGCCGCAGATGACAGGCGGAGCCGGGGTGAGGATATTGGACCCCCACCACCACCGACAGCCTCTAACAAGCGTCGTTATGACACTACTCAACCGGCCATCCCCCGCACTTTAGCCCCCACCCCTGCTGAGAACGTGGACATCAAACAGTCTCCTCCGGCTGCCGACCTGCCTGCTCGAACAGCGTCTCCGCATGTTCAAACCGGGTCTCGATTCCCGCCGCTCGCCCAAGCTAGCCCAGCGTTGTCCGCGTCTACCCCTCCCACCTCCATCATTGCGTCTACAAGTGTGCCGGCGCCAAGCAGCCACGCTTCCGCCTATGGGAAGCCGGCGCAGCATGAGATGCCAGGTCCTCGCCGTGGCTTTTTCTCGCAGCGTGAACCCTCGAGAGCTGCTCTGGTGCAAAACGATTTGAGACAGCCGCCCCCGGAAGCACCTAGAGATGTGCACGCGGAACACCACCATCACAGGCGGCAATATAGCCAGGGCCTAGCCGGATCCCAGCAGCTGCATGATCCTCGATATGTGCGCATGTCTGCTGAGCAACGCGAGCGTGAAGCTCAGGTGACGCAACAGCAAGAGATTTATGGCTCATCGGCTGCTGCGCATCACCCACTTTACAGAACCAGCGTCCCGCCGCAGCTACCGCCACAAAGGGGCTCAGAGCCTCCTTCAGAAGCAAGGCCCGGACAGGTTCAGCAGGGTGCTTTCTCGCGCGGCGCACCGCAACTTCGCCATCTCACTGAGACGCCTAGCCAGCTGCCGATCGCTCAACCGCCTGGTCGGGTCTCGAGGCATGTGTCCCCCAAGAGGGAAGAAAGTCAGCAACCGTATGCTTCGTCTCAACCTGCTGTCCAAGCTACACCGCGTGTGGCGTCGGCGGTGGCGGAGCCTCGGAAGACATCGAACTTGGCAGATCTCCTCAATCCCGCTCCTTCCGAGCCAAAGCCCAAGGAACAAAAACCGGCAGTGGATGACCGAGCGAGTGTGCTTCCTCATGAGCGGCCATATTCGGCACAAGGAAGGCCCATCCATCAGACCACCGCCCCGCCACCGCCGCCGCCTGTCACGATGTCGAGCTCTTCACCTGCGTTCCCTCGGAGGGATGTGTTCACAGAGTCGCCAGCGCCCAATAGCCCGTTCGCCAGACCAGCCTATATCCAACAGACTCAGCAGCAGCAGCAAATGCAAGCGCCGCAGCGCCGTCCCATGGAGGTCTCTAGCCGTGAACAGTCGCAACCGCCTGCATCACGGGATCCCTGGGCAAGGCCTGCTTATTCGCAGCCTCAGCCCCCGGTATCTCAAACGAGCTCGCCACACCCAGCAGCTTTGCAGCAGCCACAAGCACCGATTCCCATTGATGGGCGTCAACAGTATCCTGGCAATCACCGGGCCGCTCTTAGCCAGCTGAACACTTCGGCACAGCCGCGAAACGTCCATTCTCCAACTCCGTCGCATGCGCATCACTCGCGCACCCCTTCCTACACCCATCAACAGTCTCGTCAGCAAGCGCCGACACCGTTGCAGCCCATCCCCGCTGCCCCTAGCCCGGCGCGCGAAAACCCCGGCCCTGTCCTTGCTGCCAATCCGTACGTGCAAATGACGCCGCCACAGACAATTCAGCAACTGGTGCCTCAACAACAGCAAGTGCAACAGCAAGCCCAACGCAATGAGCAAGCTGCCATCCAGAACCGCACCCTAACTTACGCTCAGCCACAAAGCCAAGCGTATGAGAACATGATTGAGCGCGAGCGTGCCATTCGTCTTGCTGAGCAGCGCGATCGCGAGGATCAGATGAGACGAGAGCACGAAGCTCAAACTGCACACCACAGCCGAAGCACTTCTTTTGCGCAGTCGCACTACATGCGCCAGCCAACCCCCAGCCAGGCTGATCATGCTGCTTCCCGCTTCTCTTCTGCTGGACCTGCGGTGCCCCCGCCGTCAGTTCGCAATTCGGCGCATACCCCAACCGCGCACATGGGCTATCCGCCGCCGCCTGCACCGCCAGCACATCACGGTCTGCCCACGACGCAAGATCACGCGCATGCACACGGCTTCGCCACCCAAGTCCCTTCGGCAAGCCAGCGCGGGATCGAAGCCATCTTGCGGCGCGAGCAGGAAACGGCCATGCGCCGGCAGCAGGAGGCCGTGGTGCAGCACCAACAGGCCCAAGCGCAGGCGCACGCACACGCGCAGGCGCACCGCGAGCACCGCTACCGCGAAGAGGTGGCGGCGCAGCAGCGCGGGGAGCAGATCCGGAGGCAGCACGAGGAGGCCGTGGTCCGGGACCGCATCGACCGCGATCGTGCCGCCGAGCGCGACCGCGTGGACCGGGAGTACGTCGAGAGGGACAGGCAGAGGAGGGAGCGCGAGGAGTGGGATCGGCAGCAGGGGAGGAATATTTTTGGGGGTTCGAGGAACGAGAGGGGTGGGTTGTTTGGGCCGAATAGGTGAGGAAGGGACGGTGGAAAGGAAGTAAGTGAGGAAATGGATTGAGGGAACAAGTGAACACTACACTACTGAGGTACATGGCTGCCAATCTTCTTCTTGTTTCGACTCTCCTTGAACTTTATTTTTTTTGTTTCTTGGAAAGGCCGAGTCTTGTTCATTCAGTCATGAAATGGATGACGACTATTTAATGGGTCAAAGACGCCAGAGAGGAGAGAGGGGTTTGAAGTCAAGGAGAAAGAGGGACAGACGCAGATGATAGCCGTGCTGATTAAACGGACCGCTCCGATGCCGTGAAGGCACCGCCGAACTATCATTGTTTTATTGTTACTGTCTTTTTGTTCTTTTTCTCTGTTTGTTGCTACTATCACTGTTCCCGAAGATAATGACCCCCCAGATACCAAAGAAGAAACATTCCTTCTGCTCCCTGCTAGCGCGGATGATGGGTGTTGGTGTTGTACATAGCATGTAGGCTTCTTGCCTGGCTTTTTTTTTTTTTTTTGGGGTCGCCGTCGCCGCTTCTTGTCTTGTATGTATGTATGTATGTAATCTATCGGTCGTTATACCATTTGTTAATATTGTACTGTACATTTTTGCTTCATAGGTAATTTGAACTTTTTTTTTTTTGCCCCTTTGGTGATCCTTCAATGCTCGCATCCACATCCGGACATCTGCTCCCGCTACCGATGAAAAAAGGTCGCTCAATTGTACATCTACGTTGGCACACTTGCTCTGACTGCCAATGCAAGGGATCGCAGTAGATTAGTTTCTTTCGTCACCCACTGTGCAGCTGCATTCGGGGTTGTTGGTTGGGTTTGCGGAGTGACTGACAAGCGGCTTCTATGTATGTATGTACATAGATGTATCTATTTTGCTGCGAACGGAGGGAGCGAATGCATCGTGAACTGTTCGGTGCTTTTGTACTTGGGCTTGCAAGCCTACTCGTCTGCTTGAGGTTCGTGCTTGTTGATAACTGTTTACGATAGCCTGCGGGGTTAAACTATTTCTTCTTCCTTTTTTCAACATGGATATACGCTGTTGAGTGAAGCACATAATAGGTCTTTGTGACTTACTGCGGGTGATTGTGTGTGCAGAGGGCACATTGGAGAGAAATGGACGCTGAGTGATTATTGTGGTACACTAACAAGCGGGTGCTTAACTGCTACGTGGCCTACATGAACGCGTCCGGTTGAGTTATTCTGCGTGGTTGAGGACAGGGCAGCGATATTTTCAGGAGGATCCCGCCCTGGACAGACAGGCTGCCCTTCTCCTCTTCGCCGCTTCCCTTTACCTAAGCGGTGCTCCCTTTACCTAAGCGGTGCTGGCACGCACATGGACTATAAATATTGACCGGACCACCCACCTTCGCACCTTCCTTCTCTCAACAAATCCTCGAGCTAGAAGGTAACCCAGTTTCCTCAACGACAGTCACCGCTGGTTCCTATACCGGCATTATTCCTCTTGCAACCATGGCGCTTCCGACGCAGCAGCCCGCCCGCACCTCCAAGTCCCCCGTCGACGTGGGAACCCTGTCCCGACACATGCGAAACCTCTTCTCCTCCTTCAACGACAACACCACCAACAACAACAACAGCGTGCGGCCCGGCGAATTCATCGTCGACGACGACGCCACCCTGGCCTTGATACGTGACATCCAGTCCGTGTGCTACGAGATCGTACTCGCCAGAACCGAGAACACGTCGGCCAACGCAAACCACGCCGACCACGCGACCCGCCTCGCCGACCAGCTCTGGCGCGCGACCAGCGAGCGCGAGGTGCGGTCCATCATGGCGCAGCTCCCGCGCGAGCCGGCGCGGCTGCGCGTGGAGCCCGCGGTCTGCGACGGGCTGGCGCAGCGCGGCATCTACTGCTCGACATTCGGCACGCTCGTCCGGTACAAGGGCCCCAACGACATCAGCGACCACGGCAGCAACGACGGCAGCAACAACAACAACAACAACAGCGGGCCGCCGCCCGGCGTGCCCGAGACGGTCAGGGCCGAGCCGGACGTCGAGAGGCGGTGGGAGGCGAAATTCGCGCGGCTCCGGTCGGCGGCCAGGTGGCGGGCGACGGCGCGGACAAAGGAGCGGGAGCGGGAGCTGGCGCTGGAGCTGGCGCGGGAGCTGGAGCAGGAGCGGGATCAGGCGCTGGAGCGGGCGCGGGCGCTGGAGGAGGCGGTCGTTGCGCTAGGTTAGGATCAATGTGATGTTCGTTGATCGGTCGGTTGCAGGTGTGGTTGCGTGTATGCAGTGATTGATACGTTTACGGGATAAATTGAGAGCGGGAGAAAGGCAAGGAAAGTCGGAAGAGAAGAAATGTACCGCCCGATCAGAATGCGAACCTAGGTCCTATTATCGAAGCTTCCGTGAAATGCTTGCTCTTGGCGGCAGGAGGCAGCTGCAGGTGTGGAGCGAATGGTATGCTCGGTTGGTAGGTGGGAGAGGAACTCACGTACAGCCAGGTCGAATCAATGATGCTGGTGTCAAGTCATGGCATCTGCAATGGACAGAACCTGGCATTCCATGAAACAGAGTCCCAAGAGAGCCGCTGGGGGATGGAAGGTACGGTTCATGGGCGTATAATCCGGCCACAAGGCTTGACTAGGGACTCAAAGACATTCCTTCCTGAGCCGTGTAGTTACTCCATGGATATTGCTCTAATTGAGCCAGGCAAACGCAGGAAAGCAAGCGCGAGTTGAGGAGACGAGGCGTGCGAAAGCAGGCGAAGGCGAGAGAAGCGGCGGCAGGCGGTGAGTGAGGCTAGCGAGGGCTTGGCCGGCAATTGGTGGTGGTTGCGCGCGGACCCTTTAGATCTGCAACGTTGCCTTCCTCTCGTCGCCGCAGTCCGCAGTCGATTCGCCTCAACAAGAATAAATATCCCCCACCGGCGCATCCTCCTCCTCGCCGTCTCCGTCACTTCTTCACTCCCCCCCAACGACCGACTCCGCGACGCCCGACAGCCCCCGCAACCGCCACCATGGTCAACCCCCAGATGTAAGTTTGCGCAAAACTTGGACAACGCGCGAGAAGGCGTAAGAAGGCGTGCTAACGAGTGCCTCTGCGTGCAGCACCAACCTCGCCATCATCTTGTATGCCGCCCCCGTGCGCCCGCGCCCTTCCGCGCGCCCTCCTAACGTTGCGTGTCTTGCAGGGTGATGATGCAGGTGTCGAAGCGCATTCCGTTTGATGACCCGAACGTGCTCAACGGCGTGCGCGCCATGTACGTCGTGTCCAACCTGATCATCGCGGCCGTCTACTTTTACGTGAAGACGTCGATCGACAAAAAGAAGGGTACGTTTCTGGCGAGAGAGAGCGAGAGAGAGAGAGAGAGAGAGAGAGCGCCACGGCTGACGGGGGAACAACAACAACAACAGACATGACGGTGCTCAAGTACGTGGAGCCGGCGCCTCCGGGCAGCGGCGAGGAGCCCAAGGCGGTGACGACGACGGTGCACGCGTACGACACGGCGCAGCTGAAGCAGCTGTACAAGGCGCAGATGATGGGCGTGGGCATGATGGCGGTGATGCACTTCTACTTCAAGTACACGAACCCGCTGCTCATCCAGAGCATCATCCCGCTCAAGGGCGCCTTCGAGGGCAACCTGGTCAAGATCCACCTGCTCGGCAAGCCCGCGTCGGGCGACCTCAAGCGCCCGTTCAAGGCCGGCGGCGGCCTCATGGGCGCCATGGCCGGCGCCGGCGAGATCAAGACGGACAAGAAGAGCATCGAGCAGGCCGAGCGTGCCGGCCGCGGTGGCGTCAAGGACGAGTAGACGGGCGAAGGAGGCATTTGTTTTTGGCATTCGGGGGGCCTTATACTTCTGAGGCGGAAAGGCAAGGAGGGTGCGGAGGACATTGTTCGTACGGCGCTGGCTTCACGCCCGATGCAAAAAATCACAGCTCGTCACGCCAACGCTTGTATTTCTGTCGAACCATGAGATGAAAAATGCACACACACGCACACACACAGACGTCTACCCCGCACTCGGCTCCGCAGCGCGCAGAAGGGTTGGAGATGACGTTTCAGGCAGGCCTGATGGCGGCAGCAGCTGGCCCTTGCCCCCCTGACGCATTCGTCAGGCCTCGCAGCAGAAGGGGGCGGCGCGTGTGCAGGCAGGCCGGCAGGCGCTGGTCGCCCGGCTCCCAAGACGCGGCGCCAGGAACAGGATCGGCTCGCCTGATGTGATGAGGGATCTCAGCGTCATCTCCCGCGACGTCCAAAAGGCGGAGCTAAGAATAAACTTAAACAACACCGGGCCCAACCAACCAACCAACCTCGATTCCATCGTTTCCGTCCATCGCGGCTTGGGAGACTGACTGCGCCCCCGGCTTCATCCCACACACTCCCCCCTTCCGCGCCGTCCCGCGCTGCTGCCTTCCGTCTCGTAAGAAGGCGGGCGAGCGAGCGAGCGAGCGAGCGAGGCTGGCCACCGGCCAGATCGATTGCGCCGAGCCCCGTCGTCGGGCAAAACAGCCAGCCAACAACGGTCACGCCCAATCGTTCCTTCCAAGGTAAGCAAGCAAATATAAGCCAGGCCCATCGTTGCTGCGGCGATGGTGATGATGATGATGACGATGATATTGAAAAGAAAACCTGTTCTCTCAGTCCCACAGATTTGTCCCTTGGGCGCCCCGGGAAGGAACGGGGAAAGGGAGAGGCATAATAAATAATAATAACACGACGACGACGACGACGACGACGACGACACAACAACAACGCCGACTTTGCCAACACCGAAGCACACCATAACCCTCGGATTCACCCGCCAAAAAGAAGAGAAAAAAAAGAAGAAACAACAGCAACAGCAACAACAACAACCGCCTGGACACGTAGAGGCCAAACGAACCAAAAAAAAACAAAAGAAAGAAAGAAAGAAAAGAAACCATGTCCGCACCAACCGACGACGACCCCTTCGCCAAAGCCGCAGCCGCGTCTTCGACCTCCCTCCCCTCCGGCGGCGGCGGCGGCGCCCCACCGCCCTCCGCGGAACCCCTCGTAACCTTCCACCACCTCTCCCCGCGCTACCCTTCGCCCCGCCCCTCTTCCTCCTCTTCCCCCTCCACCACCTCCCCCACCAGCCCCCGAGACCGAAACCAAGACCAAGATCAACCACCCCAGTCGTCCCTATCAATATACCAACACCAACCCCCCGCCCACCACGTCCTCCTCGCCAACGGCACCCTCTCCGCCTTCCGCAACCCGTGGCCGTCGTTCGCCGAGGGCGGCGCCGCCGCCGCCCAAGGTGGCGGCCACAGGATGGGCGCGGGCCAGGTCATCCACGCGCGGTTCTTGTCGCGCGAGCGGAAATACGTGCCGGTGCCGACGAAGAAGGAGGAGCTGGTGGGGGTGGTGGTGCCGGATTGGGGGTGGGGTTTTGGAGATGGGTCGGGGGGTTGCTGTGGTGGTGGTGGGCCGCCGGTGGATGAGGGGGGGTTGGGTGGGTTGGGGAAGGAGGTTTTGGGTGGGGAGGGTTTGGGTAAGGAGGTTTTTGGTGAGGGGATGGGGGGGGTTGCTGGTACCGGTGAAGGGAAAGGGAACGGAGGCGGCAATCCGAACGCGACCAAGATGAAGGCGACGTGGATCGGGCATGCGTCGTGGCTGGTCGAGACGGGGGTGAAGCGCAAGGCGCCGATTTGGACGCCGTCGATTACGCTGACGGTGGCAGATGACGAGGCGGGGGATGGCAAGGCGACGACGAGGATGTTGGAGCTGAAGAGCGATGATGAGGAAGAAGAAGAAGAAGAAGAAGGAGAAGGGAGTGAAGAGGAGGGGGGGAAGGAGGGGAAAGATGATGACGATGATGATGGCGCTTCGTCTTCTTCCTCCGAGGCGACGGCAGGCCCCGACGACAAAACCACCGAACACTCGTCCGCGGCCGAGAAGAAGGAGACGGGAGGCAAGAGAGGGAAGGAGACGAACAAAACGAAGAAGAAGAAAAAGAAGAAGAAGAAAACGCAGAAAGAAGGCCACGTCGAGCGCGGCATCCGCATCCTCTGCGACCCCGTCTTCAGCACGCGCATGTCGCCCGTCCGCTTCGCGGGACCCAAGCGCTTCATGCCGCCGCCCTGCGCGCTGGCGGACCTGCCCGACCCCGTCGACGTCGTCGTCATCAGCCACGACCACTACGACCACCTCGACGGCCCCACCATCCGCTTCCTCGTCGACCGCGAGCGCAAGCGCCAGCACCGCCTCAAGTCCGCCGGCCGCGGCATCCTGTTCCTGTGCGGCCTCGGCGTCGGCCGGCACCTGCAGGGCATGGGCGTGCGGCCCGAGGAGATCGTCGAGCTCGACTGGTGGGAGGGCGTGCGCGTCGCGGTGCGCGGCGTCAAGGGCGCGGTCCGCGTCATCGCCACGCCGAGCCAGCACTTCAGCGGGCGGGGCGTGTGGGACGCGGGCAAGGCGCTGTGGTGCTCGTGGGTGGTCGAGGAGGTCGGGCTGAACGACGACGACATGAACGACGACGGCGGAGGCGGAGGCGGCCTGTCCGGCCTGCAGAAGCGCGCCAACGAGCAGCTCGAGCGCGCGACGGGCGGCCCCAAGCGCCTGTACTTCGCGGGAGACACGGGCTACCGCTCCGTCCCGCCCGCAGTCGCGGCCGCGGCCGCCGCCGCCGACGGGGGCGGAGACCCCGACGACGCCCTCGCGCGCCTGCCGCGCTGCCCCGCGTTCGCGGAGATCGGCGAGCTGTACGGCCCGTTCGACCTGGCGCTGCTGCCCATCGGGTGCTACTCGCCGCGGGCGATGCTGTCGCCGGTGCACGCGGCGCCCGAGGACGCCGTGTGCATGCACAGGGACCTGCGCAGCCGGCGGAGCGTGGCCATGCACTACGGCACCGTGCGCATGCCGCTGAGCGAGCAGTACGAGGACGTGCGGGAGCCGCCCCGGCGGTGGAGGGAGTGCGCCGAGCGGGACGGGCTGAGGTGGGGGGAGGAGGCTGTCGCGTGCAAGATTGGGGAGACGGTGCTGGTGTAGTGTAGCGTGGTTGATTGAGTGAGCGTGGAGCTGTGTGGTCGGAACTGGTGTGTATGTACAAGTGTGGGACGGACAGGTAGGTAGGTAGGCGCGCGGGGCATTGGGAATATCCTCGACGGTATCAAGGGGTGCGCTCGACCTGGCGTGGAAGAGATGAGGGGTCGTGTGAAGAAATGGGACGGGTGGACGAGACTGGGAGCGTAACGGGTGGGTGGATGGTTGTAGTTGAAGTTTCTGGCTTTCGGTGCTGGCCAGGTCATCGCGAGCGGCGGCCGACTCTTCCAAACACTTTCTGACCTTGATGGCCAGAACGCGGCGGCTACGTCAAGGGTATGTAGTATCTCCGCAGCTTGTGTTGTTCGTCAAACGGACGTAGTGCCTTGGGATTGGACTTTGGAGCCGTTCTGTCAACCGTAAAGTCTGGCTGACAGTTGTTACACCGTTGGGAAGAACGGTAGGCCATTTGGCATCCGGTGCGCTAGGTGGCTTGGACAGGCATCCTATGGAATATTCAAGTTAGTAGATCCTTCTGGACAAGGTGGCGATGGATGCATGAATGTAAAAGGCGTGATGGCCGATTATTCTCTAGATTTTACCATGGGACTTTGGCTCCTTCCATAATACTTTACCAGTAGCTCGCCGGAGAACAGTGTAGGCGCCTTCCTTAATCACGCGCCGCCGGGCCGGCTTAGCATCCGAAGCCTTGAGGTTATAGTATAAAGATCATCTCTAGACCCGTTTGATTCCTTTCCAGTCCCTTAACTTCTATCCTCACAACGAGCCGCTCACTCACCGGCTACGACGACGCGCATAGGTTGATATCCTTCCGGTGAGTCTTTTCAGCTCCGTTCTGCAGTCGCGCGCGGCTCGACAGCGCGGATGTTCTCACTTCACTGTCCCAGTTTCACTGACCTCCCATGTCCAGAGACTCAAACAAGAACAAACCGCATCACCACCGCAACCATGGTCGCGTGGACCACCGAAGTCGAGAAAAAGCTATTCCTATGCGTCATGAAGCAGATGAACCAGCACATCAACTACAGGCAGCTGGCCGCCGACATGGGCGCCCTGGGCATCGGTCCGTCATCTCTCACCCTCCTCTTCCTTCTTTCCGTCCTTCCTTCCTGCCTTTCCTCCCCCCCGCCTCACCTCACCTCACCTCACTTTCAGATGCGCCTTTTCCCCCCACCGCCCCTCATCCTAGCTCCAATCCCCCCTCCCTCTCACTTCATCACCACTCCGCCTCCCCTCCCCTCACCCACCCAACACTCCTCCCATCGCTGAGACTTACCACCAAAACCAACCACAGACGTCACGCCCAAAGCTTGCACCCACAAAATCGCCCACATCAAGGCCGACGCGAAGGCGGGCGGCGGCGGCGGCCCGTCCACCTCCGCCCCGGCCGGCACCCCCGCTCGCCGCAACAAGAACAAGCGTGTGAGGACGGCCAGTACTACCGACGAAGAAGAAGAAGAAGGATCCGATGGCGATTCGGATGCCCCGGCCGCGAAGACGAAGAAGACGAAGATGATGAAGAAGAAGAAGAAGATGGACGGCGGTGGAGGTGGAGGTGGCGGAAAGAAGAAGGGTAAGGCTGCTGTCGTCGTCAAGGAAGAAGAAGATGGGGATGATGACGGCGACGGCGACGGTGACGAGGACGAGCAGAGCGATCTTGCGCTGTTCAGCGCGGCTGCGGCTGCGGCTGAGGCTGTGGTGGATCAGGGGTCGGAGAATGAGTCGGAGTTTGGGGAGGCTGTTTAGATGGGGCGTGGGCTGGGCTGGGCTGGGCTGGGCTGCTCTCGCTCTCGCTCTCTATCGGCAGAAGATGAGTTGTTAACCAGCCGGTCTACGTACCTTCTCTCGGCGCACGTCATCTTCTTTCAGCTCTGCTGGGTGTGTGTGTGTGTATGGTGGGGTCTTGCTGCTCGTCTCGGTCTTTCATCCTGGTGGTTTCGACTCCCTTTACTTTTATTTTTTCTTCTTTCTCTCTTGCCCGAGGTCGGTTTTTTGGGGCTTGGTTATGGGGAGGGGGGTATTTTTTTTTCTTCTTCTCTTTGGTTACGGTACTCTGAGGATACAGTGACATCGAAGACAAAAGCTGGGAGGAACACACACGGTAGTTTTAACGCACCGTCACGGTGTGCTCTACTTGAATATCTACCAGCGACAAGGTAGAAGGACTATGGGTTCTTAATGGGACTACAGATTCTTCTATTCTCCTGCATTGTGCCATCTCACCGACCATGTTTTGATTGCTTGACTAGATCGTATGTACATACAGACCGGAGTGGGGAAGTGTCACGACCGAAACATAACGATGCAGCAACTCACAGTTCCGGTATGAGCTCCAGAGAGTACGAGCACGAGAGGCGGGAGCAAGCTGAGACGGAGGGACAGAGACAGAGCAAAATGACGAGGGGGTAGGAGGGGAGGGGAAAGAAAGGCCATGACCAAACCCCACCCAAATAGCGCGATCGACAGCTCTTTGCTACGCGCTCCGCGAACAGAATTTCTCTCTTCCATGTTTCTAAAAACAGACGTCCAAGTGACCAAAGGGAAAGAAAAAAAAGAAAGAAAGACGAGAACAACGGCAAGTCGCTTCGAGCCACTAGCTGCTTCGACGCTGACCGCGACGTTGCGTCCAATCCCTCCCCCTTTTGTTTCTTTCCCCTCTCTATTCCCCACAGCTTCTTTTTATAAACACGCTTGGTGGAGTAGTAGCCTCACCACACGCACCGTCTCACCAGTCACAAGATGGGGTGGTGGTGGGGTGGGGGGGAGAGTGTTCCTTGCGACATTTTACGCGTTAGGGACGTTGAGCGGGAAAAAAGTGGTGGTGAAAGTGGTGGTGAAAGTGAGACAATGAAGAAATGCATCCCCACGGCAAGGCCACCTACCCTCCCTCCCTCCCTCCCTCCCCTCCGGTTGGCCGGACGGGACGATCGACGCAGGTTCCCGCCTCCCGCCTAGCCCGCGACTTCGTATAGGGCAGTGACGGGGCTTCGGACCGAGTGCGAGGTGGGTGGGTCGCGTCACGTCCGCCTCGCAATGGTGGGGTTGCCGAAGATAGAAGCAGAGAAGAGGGCCCCGCGGACCCAGCGACTAGGTAGGTAGGCCGGAGCGTCTGTGTGGGTGTGGGTGTGTGTGAGAGAGAGAGTGGGAGGGAGGAGAGGGTAGGTCCAGGTACAAGGGTTGTCCATTGCGGCTACTAACGGACGGGGGTGTATATTGTGGGTCCTGCGCAGCGAGGAAAGAAAGCAGAAAAAGTGGATCTGGTGATGGATGACGATCATTCCCGTGCCGGGTGTTGCGCGGGCAGGGATTCGAGCCATGTTAAGAGGAGGGGTGTATGACGGTATAGAGAGTGAAGCTGCATCCCACCTTGGCCATCACCAGTGCGGGTGGTCCCTGCGCTCATGATACCCAACATGCGCATTCTCTCTGCCCGCATGGCCCTGATACCCGTTGGAGGGGAGACGAGAAAGGGGTTTATTTTGGGGTGGAAGAGGCGCTTAATGCCGAGTATTGCGTGCAAAGAGGACGTACGCACGGTTGCGCATGTGTGGCGGTGTGGCAGAGAGAAAAAGCAATAACTAGCAAGTCCCAAATGACGGTAAATTGAGCTCCCCTTGCTGCGGCTGGGTGCTGGGTGGCGATCATCGTCATTTGAGTTTCTGGGTTTTGGTCCCACTAAGCGACGTTAATTGTTTTGGCGTGTTAATTAGGCGAGCTCGCATTGCTGGCGGTCGGGCTGTGCACTGGGTGTTCATTTCGTGCATCCCTTTTTTGGAAGCGGCTGCGCGCTTGGACGTTCCCTGTGGCTTGTCGTTACATGCGCTTACAAGGTACGGAGGCTGGGGAGAAAAGCCAATGTTGTATGTAGCATTGTGAAACCCTGTCCGTCTCTTTCTTTTTCTTGTCTACATACACTCACTCACTGTACGTGCAGAACCAGTCTGTGCTCGCCGTCGTGGCTATACCCTCCGGATCCCCGGAAGCTCAACACATTATTGACTGCCGCGTCGGCCGACGGAACGGCGGAAAAACTGGAAAGACCGAGATGTGGACCCGTAGGGCTGCAGGCTTGCGCATGCGCCCAAGAGTAATGGCCCTGTATCCGTAGGCGGTGAAAAGGGTGCCCTGTCGCAACGACGTAATGTCCTCAGCCCGTCTCCTCAGCCTTACGGAGATGCCGACGCTTTCCTGACCGCCGACCCCGACATGCGGCCCGAGCCACCATGATGGCCGCTGCGAGTACCTAGCGGTGGCCGGCAGAAGAGAGAGCTGGTGCCGGGTGCTGTAGCTGTCCGGAGCGAGGCGGATGCCCGGAATATGGGGAACGCAGCAGAGACAAAAGGCCCGCGCTTGTGGCTGCATTTGTGGCGGTGTGTGCCTGCGTCTGCTCAGAAATTGGTCAGAAATTGGACGAGAGCGCGCGTGCCCGAGTGCGTGCGCTTCCCACGCTCTGGCCCTGCCTGCCCATCTTCGCTGCATTGCCCGCCGGTCTAGATGCTGTGCCGACTGCTTTCGACACCGCTTGCCTGGTCAGGAAGCAACGTTGCGCCAACCTCGTATCAGTCAAGGCACTCGCCGCACCCGTGTGGCGTCAGCCGATTGTCGAAGACACCATGACTCGCTGTAGCTGTGTCGAGTCTCCGCTGTCATGTTGCTTTGTCGAGTTCATTTGAACCCCCATCTACTGCAAACGCCTTTGGACGAGTCAATGGCAAATGACAGTTGCACCTCGCTGTAAATATAGATCCATCATCCTCTTGTCGCTTAGTCGGGTGGGCAACAGCAGTGCTGGTCTGTTTCAACCCTCTCGTTACTTTACTTCAAGGCCATATCGGAGTCAGAAGTCGTAGGTTCCTGCCGTGTATCGTTCGATGATGAACAGAGCGGTCGTTTGGGCACCGCCAAGTGGTCGCCTTTCCCATTGGCATCGTTGGCCAACTGAACGCTATGATAAGCATCGGATGCGGGCTGCAGAAACCGTACCGGCCATCGTCTCGAGCAGAGGATGAGGTATCGGCGATCAGAGCACAGAGTAGAGGTTCAAACAAGAAAGTCGGAGTAACCGGGGTGCGAAGGCGCTAAATTCGGAGTTGCCGACGGCCGCACACTGCGGTCTTCTTCGATGACGTGCTGCTGGCGATCACACTCGACTTCTTCACTTCGTTGGGTTCAAGCGTTCAAGCCCGCCATCCTCGTATCGCGTACAAGCCACAGCCTGTCTCGCGACCGGCATCTGCCCCGGCAAGGGTGCGGGTGGGGAATGACGAAATCCCCCTGAGTAGCTCAGCCATTTGGTTTCAACTCAATGTTAATTTTGCCATTACAAGCTAGCGGGAAGGTAAAAATAAAACAGAAAGAGAAAGTCCATGCCAGATGCAGGCGCACTAAAAAGAATACGATCCAGGAACGACCCGCTGATGCAACCGAAAAAGCAGCGAATGACGCAATGGGATATCTCGAACAGCAGCCATAGACCAAAGAAAGATGAAAAAATTTGGAAAGAAAGAAAAAAAGAAACGCCCTCCCAATGCAAAGGGTCTTGTAGCAAGCGAGTCGTCGCAGACGTGAATGCCGTCATCCCCTTTACACATTAACAGTTACCAATAACGCCCGTTCTCTGCCGTCTTGGCTGGCCAGCAAGCCAAGGGGTATACGGTTCTGCTGTGGGTTTTCAATCGTGCTTGTGGTGCCGGCACCACGCTTCGCTCCGGGGGACTTGTCCGAGCGAAGCCTTGTCGACGAGGAGATGCAAATTCGCTCATGTCCGGCCGTCGGCCCAAGTGCCATGTCGAAAGTGTCCAATCAGACAGCGAACAAAGCTCCCAACCGATCCCTTCTCCCTGGGGCTTCCCTTCCATTCGTATCGGGACCCGACCAGCGGGTCCGTTCCGACACACCGTCTCCGTCGCCGTGGACCCCGGCAGTAGTGACGAAGACGGTAGTTGCAGTTCAGCGGGGCTTCCGGAGTCGAGGATCGAAGGGGACTGCTGCCCGAATGCTTTGTTCATCGTCCAGTGGGTGCCGTCTTCGCGTGGGTTGCGCAGGTGTAGCCAACGTGGATGATCTTGTCCGACACCGGGTGGCGGCCAACTGCAGCACACGCATCGACGGCGTGCACGTGGTAGATGCAGCCGCAGACGGCGTACTTCTCGACGATGCGGATGCACATTTTGGCGGAGGGTTGCGAGGAGATTGGTGGATTTTTTGGCAAGTTGACGGTTCAGTTGTAGCCGCCGCGACCCATTAAACCAGCGGGAGAGACAGTCGGGTTGCTGAGAGAGGTGAGAAGGAAGGACGACCGGGCTGCAAGGGCTGGACACTGGAGAAGGGATTGTCGCTGGTGGTGAGGGCTCGGTGGCGGCCTGGGAAAGTTTACTTATACATTCTGGCTGGGGAAGCGCAACGGCCATCGCGAGATGTGACTCTTGGAGGATCAGTAAGGCTGCTGCGGTGCGCTCTCGGGCCTCACGACGGATAGCTGTACTAAGGATAGATTTGCGCACTAGCCACGGCTGAGGCTGACCGGCAGTCCAAGCCGCTCCGGGCAAGCTGCGGCCCTGTCGACGCAGAATCCGGTCGGCGGGGGTGGAGGGGGTGAGGCGCAGCAGCGGTGCGGATGAGAATGACATGAGCGGAGGTCAATTGACGGCTGCAGTCTGACTTAATTGATCTCCACCACGTGCGCGCCAGGCCGTGCGCGGGCCGGCAGACATAATTGCAGGATAATTGAGCCTCGTCGGGGTCGCTAAGGTCCGAAACGCCCCAAGTGAGGAAATATTGGGCACATATTTTTGGGCGACTCTGGCGGCGCGCTCGGGGCCGATCACCGTTTGGGAAATTAGGAGATACGAGGAAAGGGGAGGCGCAATGCCCATCGCCGGCGAGAGGGCGTCGAGCACCGCGATGCTGGCGATGCCGCGGGTGCTGCGGGTGCTGCGGGTGCTGGGAGCCGCTGACGAGAGGGCGCGGCGAGCCCGAGACAGAGGGCTGGTGGCTCGAGTCGACGCGGTGGAGGAAGCCGGCGGGAGTTGGGGGCCACGGGCTGCGGGAGCCACGCGGTGGCAAGAGAGCAGTCGATCGCACTGGCGGGCGCGGCACGACGGCCGCGTCGAGCTGGCGGGCGCGCAGAATGGAGCCGCAGCGGGAGTCATGGGGTGTGGCAGTGAGGTCAGCGCTGGAGCAGCCACCACCTGAGCGGGCTGCCGGCGTACCGTAGGGCTGAGCCCGCTAACCCGCTTCGGCTGTGGTTGCGTGGGTTGCGCGGGTTGCGCCTGCCGCAAGCGCGACGACACCGCTCTCGCTCACCTCACGCGCGCCGCGCCCGTCAACCGCCCGCCAACCGCTCCACCCCGAGCGGACCATGCCCGCAGCATGGCCCTCTTTCTGGCGCCGCCGCCCGCCGTGCTGACTACTGCCGCCCTGACTCATGCCCCTCCAATGTGGCGAACATCCAGGGGTCCCGACCAGTTGTGGGGTTTGAGGCGGTGCAACCGATCTGCGATAGACGACCGTGGATGCCTGTCGCTCACGCTGATGGCCGCCGTTTCGCGAGCCGCCCATGCCTCCCGCGCCGTTCCTCTGTTTCCATGCGACGTTTCATCCGACCACACTGTTTCAGCCTGTCTACATGTGCCCGCCCCGCCATGCCTCGAGCGGCTTGGCCAGGTACATGTATAGAACACGCTCGGACTCCCCACTGAAGATCTTCCATCCTCTGCCCACTTCACATGCTCTATTGAGACAGACTCTCGACGATTGTCCGCCGCTGACTTGCTGCCTCACCGGCCGGCCATCTTATTCAGTACCTTGCCATTATTCACCGCTACCCGGATCCCGACATCCGTACGAGATGTATCCACTGCGTCTCTCAGTTACATTTCGCCTCGGCGCCCTGCACCCGTCTTCGTGTTGCAAATCTTGCCCACAGTCCCTTCGGCGCTTTTGTTTGCCACTCCGGTGCCTTTTCGCTGTGGAGTCTCATTTCCCAACATAGACGCCTGAGCATTGTGCAGTACTTTGTGGGCAGTGAGTCTTCGATGAGCACGGCGCTGCGTGTGCTTGCAGCTTGCAGGTTGGGCCGCCACCGTAGACATCCACACCGCTCGACTTTGATGTTGTTCTTCGAATGGTGCCTCACATAGATGTCTACTTCTATTAGCAATTAACAACAAAGACTCTATATACTGAACAGTGTGAAATGTCAAACTTGACGTTTTATTGATGCAAGCCAGTCATGGGTCATTTCACAGTGTTTACTTGCCTAAAGCTAAAGGTTCGGTGAGATCGAGTAGTTGTGTGTGTGTGTGTGTTTTTTTTTTTGCCTGCCGTGGCATCGACGCTGGCGGATTCGAATGCTCATCTACGCGAAATAATGCTAGACTACATTTTGTTTTGATTGGTATTCTAGGAGATGAAGTATATAGACATACCCAGCCATCACAGCCACCAAGTTGAGTGGAGCGATGGCAGGCTGGCAGAAGCGGTTGACGCTCTGGACCGTTGAGCCGCCTCAAAGAGCCCCGAAGCGTACAAGAACGGATGACCAGGCCGAGTTAGGATGCCGTCCTCGTCACTGGTCCAGCAATTCTCCGGCAGGTGCTTGCATCCAGATTGGGCAGGCACGGGTGTTGGCAGTGTGAAAGTGAAGTGTCGCACCTTCCACAATACCAACACCAGGGTCCGTGCGCACGGGTTGTAGATATTTTCTGCCCTCCACACAACTTGGATCCTCTCCTCCTTCTTCAGACCACACCACCATTTTCGACATCACCAGCAGCAGCAGCACCAGCTACTCCTGCCCACAAATCCTCGAAAATGAGACTCCGCTCCGGCACCATCAAGCCGGGCGACGGCTTCGCGTCTCGCCGCATGGACAAGCCGCGCGTCACCAAGCGCAAAGCCTCTGCTCCAAGGACGCCTTTGGCCGCCGCCGAGCAGAGTTTGATCAGCAAGGTAAGCCCGCTCGACCGCATCATGCCGCGATACACCACATCCACCTCACTCGATCTCTCTCCCCACTTGGTCTGCGTGCGGCGGCTGACATGTCCGCAACAGAAGTTCCGCTGGACTGAGAAGAGGGACCGGACCCTTCTCATCCACCTCATCGGCCTCGGAGGTGCCATCACCGACGAGGAGTGCGCGAAGTTGGCGACGCTGTGGGAGGGCGCCACAGCCGACGACGTCCATGCCCGCGTCGAGTTTCTGCGAGCCCAGCAGATTCTCACCATCAGGACGGAGGAGACGGCCGAGGCAGCTGCCGAGGCCTATCCCGAGTCCGCGCGGGCCGACAATGTCGACCGTCACGCCAACGTCGAGGAGTCCGTCTCGGAGGAGACCTCCTCACCGCACTCCCCGTCACCCTCCTTGGACCATGGGGCTCTGACACCACCGTCACCACCATCCCCATCTCATCCCTCTTCCTCGTCCGCCATCTCTAACGACGAGGGCGATGACGCCGACAACAACGACGACGACGAGACGCGGGCCGCTCTCAAGCCTGCGCTCAAGTCCAGGGGCAGCACCACCGCTGTTTCTGGCGGCAAGTCCGTCCATTTCGCGTCCCCCGTCATCGCCACGGTGCGGGCGATTCCACGCCTGTCCGAGAACTCGGTTCGCGACCATAAGAGGGGTCGCCGTTGGTTCCCCGTTGCGACCGCACCGTGGGAGGATGAGATGTTCTCCGCCGAAGACGCCTCCGACTCCGCCTCCACCTCCTCCTCTTCCAGCCGCCGCCGCCGCAAGCGCGCCGCTGCCGACGACGACGACGACGACGACAACGACGACGACGACCTCGCGCGTCCCGCCAAGCGTCGCCGCAGCACGAGCGGCATCAGCAACAGCGACGACGACGACGACAACGACGACGACGACGACGATAACGACAACGTCGAAGAGGAGGAGACGGAGGTATCCTACCCCCTCTCCCAGACCGCCCGCTCCCCACGTGTCCCGCGCACGCGCGCCGGCTCCTCCCTCACCGCCAGCAACTTCTTCCACGAGCAGCCCACCAAGAAGGCGCGCGGGTTCCGCAACCATCTGGGCGCCTGGCCGAAGCCAGTGCGCGCCATGGCCGCCGTCGCCGAGGGCCTGGAGTGGCAAGAAGAAAGCGACGACGAGGGAGAGACGGCCGTGATCGCGCGGGACGACCGCTTCCAGATGCGCGACGAGATCTTCCCGCGCCTCGAGTTCGCGAGCGGTCGTCGCCTTCCCGCCGCGACGGTCGAGCCGGACTTGGGCTGGGAGGAGCCTGCCGCGCGCGATAGCGGCGGACTCTGGGAACTCGAGGGGGAGGATGAAAGTGAGGAGGAGGGTCATCCGGTGGAGTCTGGAGATGTGGATGACATGGTGGTGGAGGAGGCGGAAGGGCTAGTTGGGGGAAGCGAAGACGTGTTCTTCCAGCCGGCGCAGCCCATCTACGATCACGCGCAGGGCCCGTGGGGCTACCAGCAGGCGGAGGGTGGAGTTTCTGCGCCTTACTATGGCGAGCAGTTCGCGGGTGACGAATACGGCAATTCCGCTGGGGGCTGGTCCCTCTCGGAGGCGTCGCAGGAGGAACCCGTGGACGACGGCTCCGCCGGGCAGCAGTACTTCTACCCGCCTCCTCCTGTCGACGACGGTGGTAACACCCCTTACCCCATACTCGGCAGCGCCTCGCCTGCGTGGATGGTCGGCGAAGATGAGGTCGCTGAGCGCCCTCAACAGCAGCAGCACGTGGAGGAGACGGAGGAAGAGGAGGAGCGTGATGCTGACGACGACGATGACTGGTCATACTTCAACCAGTTCAGTGATCAGTCTATCCGGCCTAACAATCCGTAGGATGGTTTGGTCGATTCTCTGACTCCTGCTGTGTTGTCCCAGTTCATTCGCTCGTTCAGAAGCTCACCTACCTACCGGAGTTTGCAGTGCAATGACGATGGAAGAATTTCGTCTAGGCTCGAACCGATAATGTGCCTTTGCCATGCCTCGTCTCACGATGGGGAAGGCGGGTGCCGGGGAGAGCTGATGACATGTTTCTAGCCCATCCTCTCTTGGCCTCACTCTCGCCTCCTGGAGTTGCTGTGGAAGACGGTGATGGCAGAATTTCGCTTTCCAGATCACTGATGCGTCCTGCCAGGCTCACCGGCCCGTTTTCTGGGTGGCGGTGCCTCTTGGTGGGAAGGCAGGGTAGCGCATCACCGGTTGGCACGTTTCTAGCCAATCTCCTCTCATGTCCCGCACTCCCCTCCTGTTTTGGTATGGATCCAGGTCATCCGGTCCTGGAAAGGTTCCCTCCCGGTTTTGGCAAGTCAGCACGCTCGAATCGCACTTTTATGTGCGCCAGCTTCCCTCCGCCGTCGCCATGAGTGTTGTATTTGCTGAGCTGGTCTCGTACTTACACCTCATATGCCGCACCATTCACCTCGCTGGACGAGCACTCGCCGACATTGACAATTCGAACCGATCCAATTACCCTTAATTCCGAGGATATGTACATATTGCATACGAGGCCATACAGTCGTTACCAATCCGGATCTGGCGGATTTATCCGGACGAAGAAGTAGCTCAGGACGCCCCCTCTCTTCCCCGCAGGTATCTCGACTCCGACCTTCTATCATTTCGGCCGTCCATTCGTTCTCTCCCATCGCTCGATACCATCTCATGCGCGGTTCGGAATACCCATCCCCGGCAAGTGCGCCAGCGGCGACCTGTCCACGACATCCCTGATCTCCTCGACGACCGCGGACTGTGGTGCCGGGACGCCCGCCGCAGCAGCCACAACAACCGGCTTGCTCGCCAACGGGCTATCAGTACGCTTGGCCTGCTCGTCACCCTGCACACCGTTCTCCATTGCCTTCGCCAACGCCGTGGAAGCAGCAGGCTCGGGGACGGGATCCTCGGGCGCCAATTCCTCATCATACTCGTCGTCTTGCCAAGAAGAAGAAGTCACTGGGATGGGGCCGGAGATGGTGGTTGAAACTCCATGCGCAGGCGCGTTCTCTTCTTCTTCCTGGATGGTGCCATTCATGCCGTTCGACCAAGCTTCGGCGATCTCGATGGCGGTCTCAACGGTGACGGACTCGCGGCGACCTGCGAAAGCAGGCGTTTCGTCAGCGTCGGCCTCGGCCTCGTCCTCCCACACCATGCTGTCGTCTTCATCTTCCTCGTTGATGGGCGGCTCGGCGCTGATAGTGGTCACGACAGACGGACGGCGCGACGCGTCGAACGCGGCGGTGCCGGGCGGCGACAGATTTGCAGGCTCGCTCGACGTGGTGATCTCGAACGTGGCGATGATGGAGGACCGGCGCATGTCGCGGACGGGCTCGGGCTGCCACTCCTCATCCTCGTGATGCCAGCCGTTCACCTTGATCTCAGCGGGTGTCTCCTCGGGAGCGACGGATTCCTGCGGCGCCGCGTCGGATGCAGCCACGGGAGCGGCGGGAAGGGGTGCTTCAGGCGGCACATCCTCATCCTCCGGCACCACAGCAGCGACAGCAGGCACAGCAGGCGCAGGCACGGGCTCAAACTCAGGCTCAGGCTCAGGAACAGCAGCGGCGGCAACAGAAGCGGGCGGGCTAAACGCAGCGACGGCGGCAGCGGCAGCCTTATCGTCCTCCTCCTTGATCCTCAGCTTCTCCTCTTGTTCCCTCTGCTCCGCCGACGCTTTCCGCAGCGGCTCGTACGACGCAAACTTCTCAACCGACCGGCCGCGGCCGAGCCTAGGTCTCTTGGCGTACGCAAAGCCTGTCACGCGTTGGTCGTCGCCATCGTCCTGCGAGTGCTTGGAGCGAATGGGGGAGTATTGCGGCACCGGTGATGGCGTTGCTGCAGATGGCGGGGCTGCTGCGACGGCGGCATACGATTCGCTACTGGTGGGCGCTGGTGTTACTGCAGATGGTGCAGGTGCAGGTGCAGGCGCGGGCGCGGGCGCGGAGCCGTTTTGCGCCGACGCAGATGGCGTCTCAGATGTGGTCTTCTTCTCCTCGACGGCACTGGGTGTGGCCTTGCCATTGGAGCGCTGCGTCCACAGCTCGTCCGTCTTCTCTCCCTTCTTCTCGGATTCCGGCTGCCTCGACTTGGGCTTCGGCTTCGGCTTCAGCGATTTCCGCTTCCGCCATTGCAGGAACAGGATTATGGAACCGGCGGCGAGGGGGATGCCGAGCACGACGCTCTTCCGCGAAAGCAGCTTGACCGCCTGCTGCTGGTAGAGGGAAATACTGCTCGAAGTCTGCAAAGAGAAGGCACAATGCGTCAGCGAATGGGCTCCCGGAAAAAAAGATGGCGGTCAAGCGAGAGCTGCAACTACCATTTTCGGCGCGGCGCCTGAGGCAAGCGTGGGATTCGCAGCGTCTTCGGGAACGTCTCAATTGCGCGCCCAATACGCTTCGCGGGATGGCACAGGACGCAAAAGCACGAACAGCGGGCGGCGGGCGGAGCAAAGGGCGGCAGGATAGGAGGATGGGCGGTCTGGACGGCTCCCTGTCTGACGTTTTGATGATGGCAGCGGGCGTGTGCGCGGGAAGCAAAGGCGAAGGCCAGGAAATGGCAGAAAAAGAGCGGCACCAGGGCGCGCGGGGCTTTTCTTTTTAAATGACAGGCGAGTCTACGGCAGATGCGTTGTCGGCGTCGTAGCAACAAAGCTGCAACCAGAACGAGCAAGAGGGGAGCGCCACGGCAGAACGATGGTCGCGCGGACGGTCGACCCACAAATTACCAGCACTCAAGTCAGCCCTTCCAGCCAAACAACTCATCGGCCGGCATGGATCGGGTGCCGAGAAACAGGACCAGCGGCAGGGCAGCGGCAGGGAACGAGGAGAAAAAAGGGGACCGCCATCGGGGCGTGGCGGCCAGCAACGGTGTGTTTACAAACTGTCGGGTGCAGACCGCGCCGGACGCCTGAGCAGCGCGCGAGAGGTCGGGCCCATTGACGTGTGGTGGCCTGCTGCTTGCCGGGCTCATCCCAGCGGGCAATTTGTCTAGCGTGATGCCACATCCGCCGTGGTGTCAGGTCACCAAAGCTCGCGCTCGCAGCGTCGTGTTTGCGTCGAGAGTCAGGGGAAGGACAATCGTCGCCCGGATCGGACACGCCCTGACTACTTGGTGCTGCAACCTGCGAAGCCCGCCTGACCTAGCGGCCCCTCGACCTGCTGCTGCGCCCTTCCAGCGCTCCAGGCCTATTATCCGCGCGTGCGCCGCACATCATCATGCAGCGAGTGCCGCCATGCCGCCATGTTCGCCGGTACGCTAAGAGCGGTCCCCTGCGCTACTTCTCTGCGTCGGAGATGCCCAGCGCCATACCGCCGCGCCGCCGCCGTCCTCGCCGCCTTTTGTCCTCCTGGCTCGTTGGGCAGCCCGACGCGGTTCCAGGGCCGGCCGCAGAACAGTGCTCCCACCATCCGTGCAGGTTTCCCCGTCAGCTCGATCTCGGAGACGCGGCTTTTAACGCCCATCCTTCACGCCGCCGGCAGAAGCCAGAGAAGCCCAATCACCTGCCCACAATGCGAGCGAGCAGCAGAGTCATGATTGAGGCGCGACCGCAACACGGGGCGCGCTGCATAGCCGAGGCGCTGCTCCAGGCTCTTTCCGCGCCTTCCCCGCCGACGATGGCGATGGACAACCGATCGCCCGCGACTCATGAACATCCCATCCTCCAATATTCGACCCTCTCGACTCTGTGACGTCGCCCCTCTCCGCCAGCACCTCTCAGGACGCGAGCGCCCCACCAGACGCGGGCGAAAGCGCATGCATCTATGACATGCACGTTGGGGAAATGCACGTGGGAAAGGGGTCCGGGTGCAGCTGGGCTGCAGGGCCTAGATCGCTTCGGGAAGCATGGTCGAACGAGGGCTTGCGCCTGGCTCTGCTGTCAATATGTAACCGCGACGCCTGTGGCGCTTCGCCACGCATGACTGCCCGTACAGGCTGCTTCATGAATCAACAGCAACCCGTTCTTGCGAAAGAAAACCCCTTGTTCGGGGGGATGTAAAAGGGGAGAAGAGAACTCATCAGCAGGTTCCGTCTGGCGCGGCCCGAATCGGTCGAGGTTGCTCCATGGGATGCATGCATGCTTGCGGAATGAGACCTTGCATCAGCCCGCACGAACTTCTTACTGGAGCGATCTCGAACAACGGTGTCAAAACACCGGACTTTTCTCCTTGCATGTTGTGGCAACAGTTCGCATCGTCGCATCGCGTACAGTGCGATCTGAGTCTCGCAAGTCAGAGACTGGCCACGCAACATCGAGCGGCTGGCCCAAACCTCTGTCTGAATAAGCAGCAGATCTCCTTTGTAGCATTGAGGCTCCAACTCCGCCTCCCCCTCTACGCAACTCAAACAGCAGCCGCACACTCTGCGTTTTGGACTAAGATCAGGTTAATATGCAACTGATACAAGACCGAATGACAGCAACCAACAACAGAAGAAAAACGACATTGACACGCAGCACATTATCGCACCGCAAATGACAGCAGATGCGCGGATGAGCGATCCTCCACGAGGCAAAGTAGCCAGCAAAGCGGTCCATTCAGTTTTGGAGACTGGCTTGGCCTTACCACGGATAATGTGAACAGTATGCTGATTGCAGACGCGTTTGCCAGGTGTCACTTAGCGGCGCCAACCTGTGACCAAGAGAGCAGAATACAAATAACGCAGGGCTCAAAATCTGCTGGCCCTGCTCATGCTGATGCCAGATTCTGACAGCGCGAAATCACAACGCAACAATCAATGGGCTTGATATCTTGTGTCAAGTCCACACTACAACAAGAACCACCACACGACAGTAGGTCACTTGCATCAACACAGCAAGCCAAAGGCTACGCAATAGAAAACTGTAAAACAAGAACGAAGATTGCGTACGAGGATGAAAAATCAGTAAAGAAGAGATGGAAAAAGCATTGGGAAAGGGTGAACTTGGAGCTTGGAGTAAATGAAAGCCTGGGGAGAATGAATCAAGCCGCGAAGGTTGGTTACGAGTCTAGAGTACGGTAAAGAAAAGGAAACAGGTAGGATGGGTAGGAAGGATGAAGGGAGGCGATGGAGACGGAACGGAAATGGTTGTGGCTTATAGCGCATTCTTGATGGTTTGCAGTGGAGAAGGCTGAGTTGCGTGGAGGAGTCGGCTTTTGGAGCTGCCCTACAACACCGGCGCAAAAAGGCTTAAAGACGACATGATTTCATAGAAGAGATAGGACTGAATTTCACATGGTAGTGATTCATAATGTAGATGCACTTATAGTGGCGGCAATGCAACCGCTGGTGATGAAAACGCGGCGTCTCGTCAGAACAGGCAAAGAGAATATGTTTTGGAATAACATGAACGAACAACGCAACTAGCCACATCACTCATTACTCTATCGAAGCTTGCGCTTCTAACTGAGTGAGATTGCCTGAGAGTAGCTGAGATGATGGGAAAGAGGCTGTAAGGGAAGTGAGTGCCGCAGTGCAATGCAAGACCCAACTAAAACACTTGTCTCGTTCAAACGGTATTGCCGTGTATTTCCAGCAGCGATGCTCTAGAAGCGTTGCATCCTCGTGGTATATGGAGGCGATGAGGTTGAGAAGATCATGCCCGAGATGGCGATGGATTGCCGTGTTCGCCGACTGCGCAAGGCCTGACGTTTCCCCGGAGAGCCGGCATTTTGCCCTCCGACAACCTCTACAGCGCAGTCTGAATGCTGGAGAGAGCACGAAGTCGGCTCAACATCTGCTGACCGGAGCTTCTCCACCCTCCAGGATGATCTTTCGAAGCGCATCCGCCCTGGCTGGCAGAGCGCCCGCCTCAGCGGCTGTTCCTATGCTGCCATACAGCTGCCTCGCATCCTGAGGCCAGCTCACTTCCGTCAGCATGTCTCACCACCGGTAAGTGGCACGTCCTTGTATGCCGGGGCCTCTCATCTAGATGCGCTCTCCTAGGTGGGAAACATCCTTTCCTTGGTCATCTGGCGACCGAGGGCTCCAGTGGCTCAAACTGATATCTGCTCGACTCGCGTCGCCGCCGTGTCTTTCAAGAAGAGACCTGGAAAGCCCTTCCCTTTTACCCTCTTCTCTGACGTCAACTCATCCAAGACTGCTGGCGTGGTTTCAGAACCGGAACAGCTAACATGTCCTTCAGCGTGAGGCCATTGCCTCAAGGAAGACAATCTGTCCGGATGCATTCCACATCATATTCAAGCACGTGACTCGGACGTCAACTCCACCAGCCAAACATGGTAATGGCGATGCAAGGACCCCTTTGTGCTCACTTAGTAACTGATTGCTAATACTCCCTGTAGTCGTCAGGCTCCCGTGTTGCCACCTATACGCTGCAGCCTGGTGTTGCTGTCTTAGGGTCACGTGCTGTTCCCGTTATGCCTGGGCACGATTCTAAAGAAACGCGCGGGTTCCGTCTGCAATAACACAACACCCACCACCGCCCGCCCAACCCCGCCGTTTTTTCAACCAAATCAGACACCGGCTCGACGGTCGCCCCCTTCGTCTCCGTTCATCTGTACGATCAAATAGATACAAAGCGTAATCATGCCGGGTGGAAAAGGTAACAATTTTCAGCCTCTACACGCTATCGAAAGGTGGCTAACGCGTCCTTTTCCCGCGTTCTACAGGCAAGACGGGTGGCAAGACGGGTGGTAAGGGAGACCAAAACGTCAAGACGTCCAAATCGCACTCGGCGAAGGCCGGTTTGCAGGTAAGGCTGAAAGCGCGCCTTTGACCGGGACGCGCCACATCACGGCAGAGCTCCCCGACGCGCTTTTCCATCGCGGCCGATGCGCTCCAAGAACCATCAGCGCTAACATGGTCGCCTCCAGTTCCCCTGCGGCCGCATAAAGCGTCACCTTCGCAACATCACCCGCCAGCGCACGCGCATCGGAGCCAAGGCCGCCGTCTACCTCACCGCCGTCCTCGAATACCTGACCGCCGAAGTGCTCGAGCTGGCCGGCAACGCGGCCAAGGATCTCAAGGTCAAGCGCATCACGCCTCGCCATCTGCAATTGGCCATCCGCGGCGACGAGGAACTCGACACGCTTATCCGCGCCACCATCGCCTTCGGTGGTGTGCTGCCCCACATCAACCGCGCGCTGTTGCTCAAGGTCGAGCAGAGGAAGGGCAAGAAGGCCATCGAGGTCTAGGACCGTGTTGTGCGCCAATAATGCTGTCTCTTTCTGGGAGGATGGAACCAAAAAAACGATAAAATACCCGGCCCGGCGATTGATAATGGGCGTTCCGCAATGACACATGGCGGGGAGGTGCATGTACGATTATGAACCACGAGCGTTCGGGCGCGCGCGGACGGGCTGAGGGCGTCACAGTTTGCCGCGCGCTCTCTCGGACCGCGATAGGCCGCCTTCAGCTTTGGTCCTCCCTCCCCTACATCGCTGTCGACGGACATTCAGTCACGCCAAGATGTCCTCTGACCCAGGCCGGCTTCTTCACGGTCGTTGCTGCAACGCTCTGTCTGCGATGTTACTTCGGGTTGTTTCGTTTAGGCGTGGCGGGAGTCCAAGGGTTGGGTTGACCAGACGGGCTGCTTAGTAGTGTGTTAGCTGTAGTAGGCAAGGTGGGAAACCTTCTTAGTGTCCGCAAGTAGACAATGAACTCTCTGCTTCCCCCGTACTTTGTGGCGGCCCGGAGGCGGGTCATCTGGATGGCGACAGAGAGGGCAAATGTGTTCCAAATGTGACTGTTGACTCATGCTTTTTAGGACCAAAAAAGCGCAGCAGACGACTTCTGGCAACACGCCACCGTTGGACGAAGCTGCCGTGATCCGATAGTGCATGACGGCATAGCTGACGCATCGCCCCGGGGCGAAAGCATTCCCAGCGGCCCTGACGAATCACAGCACCCAGCCAGTGAACGGAATGGGCGATGCAAAAGCCCCCCCCATTGCTTTTTTTTTTTTTTTTAATCTGGCAGAAGAGCGCGAGAGCTCCCCCATTCCTCTCCGACGCTAGCACCCCCGAGCCACTCTCAGCAAAGCAACAAAGCACCACCGTTGCGTGGGACCGTGCCGTTGCGGCCTAGGTGGGCGGCGCGAGCCACGGCGAACCATGGACTGCCTGCCTGCCTGCCCTGCGCGCGCGCGCGCGCGCGCCCAACACCAGAGCCGTGTGTGTGTGTGTGTATGTCTCACAAAGAGCGCAAGGCCAGGC